GACGACGCCGACGTAGCGGCCTAATCTGGTCGACCAAGTCACCTAGTCGAGGAAGTTCTCCAGGGGTGCGCGCGCTTCACCCCATGTGGTTTTGACGAAGTCGACCTGCGAGCCGGCCTGCAGGTCGAGCACCACGCGCTGGACGACCTAACATCTGCGCAATGTGCGTGACGGTGCAGGACATGAACGCAATCGTTTCCCTGCACCTACCGGGCATGTGTGCACATGAGCATACATGGTAACATGCGGTTGCAACGCTGGCAAGCTGCCTTGCTGCAGTGTTGGCAAGCCGCCCTGGTGCAACCCTAGTAGGTCGTCATCTTGCAGTGTTGGCAAGCCACCTTCCAGCTGCGTTGGCACGCCGCCGACTTGCAGCGTTGGTAAGCCGCCTTTGTGCTGCACTGGAAGTCGACTTGCTGGTTGTACGGCGTTCCCCGTAAACACGCAAGTAGATAGAACACAAGCAATGCATCTATCACCCACACAACCGCGTAGCCTCCCACGTAATCCAACTACAACCGTTGTAGAGTGACTCTTCGCATTGAACTCCACCATGCATGGAATGTCATTCAAATTGTTCCTTCATGCCCTCAAGAAAGTGATCTATCACTTTCTTGGGCAGCATCAGCTCCCTCTCAGACTGTCGCAGCAGTCCCGCTCGCTCCATTCGATCATATGCTAAGGCATCGACTTGCGACATCTTGCCCAACCCTTGAAAGAGTTTGATGAAATCAAGCCCCTCCCGGTCTCAGCAGGACCTGAAGTCGTCAACCTTCATCAGGTACTATTTAATAGAAGAAACGGCCCGTTATCTCTATCTTAGGCACCTTGGGTCCCATCGATCCACCAGTGGCACAGCTGTTCATGGTTTCACGTGATACGTGCGTCCTTTCATGCAGGTAATCCAATCACATTCGCATGCTCTCTCTCTCTCTCTCTCTCTCTCTCTCTCTCTCTCTCTCTCTCTCTCTCTCTCTCTCTCTCTCTCTCTCTCTCTTTCTCTCTCTCTCTCTCTCTCTCTCTCTCTCTCTCTCTCTCTCTCTCTCTCTCTCTCTCTCTCTCTCTCTCTCTCTCTCTCTCTCTCTCTCTCTTGATGTTGCCTCCCATTTTTTCCCATCATCCCGGTTGATCAGGATAAAGCCGGATTTTGTGTGACAAACCCTTCTGTGAGTCTCGCTCTGAACCCGCTCCGTTTTTCGGTTCATAAGAGTGGCATAGTCTGGGGTTTTCCTTCCCCACTCCCTCCCCCCCCCTTCCACCCCCCCCTCCATCCTTCCCCCCTCCCCCCTCCTCCTCCCCAATATCTGTGGCCCAATGCCCTCTGATCAATGCAGCTCCACGCTGAATTCCGGTCTCGTCAGCGCGCCCGTGTCGCCACTATTTGTTTTCCGCAGAGTGCCGCCCTTATTAGCTCAAAAGAGCCTGTATCCGCCCCAGAGACGTGGATTCATCGCTGCCCTCTGGCTAGAGAGTGCCCAAATACGTGTCCTAGCACTCGTTCCGATTGTTGCAACAACCTTATGATAGTGGTGTGTGCTTCAATGGGGGCATTCTTCCTTGTACAGATGAGAGTAATTTTACCTTGAGCGGTGTATGGATTTCATTTGTAACATATTCCGGGGCCTGTTATGAGGAGATGAACACGTGTGCGTCACAACAATTGCTAGTCGTTTGGTAATCAGCCAATAAAAAAGCAAGTATGCTGCACGTGGCACTGGAATGGCTCCAGCATTGCAACGGTTACCACGTGGTCTTTCAAGTGCCAGCGTGTCAACTTGGCAGGCCGCGGCGACCATAATTTTCAGGGCAGGCCAGCTGGGCAGGGCTCCTTGAGCGGAAACCTTTACCGAAATCCGTAAAAACGGCACGGATAAAAGTGTGGTACAGCGAACCCAGCTCTCCTTGATTTGGAGGGGCACATTGTACCAAGCAAGAAGTACCACACAAGCAGCACACTTAATCGAAAGCTTTGAATCGCTGATTGAGGTAGAAATATAGGAGTGGTCAGGAACAAATACGCTCATTGAATGTGAGAGGGAGACTTGTTCGAATCTGGGGCATTGTACCCATACTCTTCAGATTGTTGCGGTTATGAACGGTCAGCCCCGACGTCGCGAAATATGGAGGTGAAAAGGTGGTTGTCCACAGACAGCAACTGACCCCACAACGGCCATTCACAACACAGGTCCTCCCCGCTCCCGCTCTTTTCCACACCATCTGGGGCCATACTTTATCCAACCAAAGTACTGTGCAACGAAAAAGAGCCAGAGCAAGAACAGTCTGGATGGAAACTTTTCAGCCGCGGTGGGGGGAACCTTCCGTAACATTTTCTTACTCGCCTCGCCCTTATCCAACCATGCCAGGCAAAGCGGGCGACGAACGAATCCGATCATGCTTCTATGCTTGCAGCGTCCACATGTGATCCCACCACAAGTTACAACCATCCTCCGATTTGGTGGGACTCCCTTACTTGTCCAAGCCCATCCTGGTCAGGCCATGTGATGGAAAGGAAGGAAACCTAAACTATGGTTACTAGCACATAACCTAGGGCTTCTCGTTCTAGCAGCGGCGGTATACTAAATGCTCTACGCAACCATTTTCCTCCTAGGACGTGCGTGCCGTTTCTCAATCCTTTCTCGCAGGACTCGCGCGGCGTTTCACAGACGTCCCCTCACTATCCAGATGCGTGCACCCTCTCGGCGCCCGGAGCCCTTACCTCGTTCCTACTAGTTTCCCCTTTTCTTAATGCGTCTCTCGTCCTTGCCGTTCCCTATCCACGACCCGTCCCTTTCCATCGTGTGCTACCGTCTACCATGGTCAGTCTATTCCGCGCCACCTCGTCCCCTGCCACCGCCACCACGACCGCCTTTAATGAGAAAACCCACAGCGCGCAATGCTGCTTAGCCGCTGTCGCCGTATCTGACGCCGCGTATCGCGGTCCGAAATGTCCGGCCTGCGCTGCCCAGTGCAACGTTTCGCGACTTTCCGACGATTGCTGGGGCGGAGGCGGAGGTGGTGGCGGAGGCGGAGACGACGGCGGGGCGCGCGTGGGGGGAGCAGAAAGCAGCGAGTTTTGGGGAGCACCGCCGTGGTTCACACCCGCAGAAGGCATCGGGATTCATGCCGCTTCCACCGCCAAGATCGGTAGTACCAAGGTCGTGCCGACTACCACCGGCGACGGCTTTGGCGGAAGCGGTAATGACGGCGGTGCAGCGGGACTCGTTCACGGCGCGCATTCGCGTCAGTTCCATTCGGCTTGGTTTTCAGATCGCGCCGACTGTGTTCCTACTAGCGGCAATATGGGTGGCGCCGCGGATAGCAACGCGCGTAACGCCGTCAGCCCTTCCGCCGTTTCCCGCGCCAAAGCGCCTCTCCTGCCGTCCGCGCTTGGCGTATTGCGCTCCCTGCGCGGCGGAACGTCCTCCGCTTTCCGAGCGGAGGGCAACAATAAGGGGAACAAGGAGGGGAGTTTTAGGGGGAACAAGGAGGGCAGCAATAGGGGGAACAAGGAGGGGAGTTTCAGGGGGAACAAGGAGGGCAGCAATAGGGGGAACAAGGAGGGGAGCAGTAGGGGGAACAATGAGGGAAGTTTCAGGGGGAACAAGGAGGGGAGTTTTAGGGGGAACAAGGAGTTGAGCAATAGGGGGAACAAAGAGGGAAGTATCAGGGGGAACAAGGAGGAAGGCAGCAACAGGGGCGGTAGGGAATGCAGCAATAGGGGCGGTCATAAGGACGGCGGTAACAGGGCAACACTGGGGACGGTGGTTCTCGGGCTAGTGGGACTCGGAAGCCCAGCGGCAGCGGCGGCGGCGGCGGCGAGTGCGGGAAGGTTTGCGGGATCTGAGTGTGCTGAGATGTCTGCGGATTTTCACAGCACACGCGGCGGCGGCGGCGGCGGCGGAGGAGGAGGTGGAGGAGAAGAGGAAGGAGCACCAGGAAGAATATTTAGAGGAGCCGGAGGAGGAGGTTTGGGAGGATGCGAGGAGGGGGAGATGGGGATGGGGATGGACGAGCGGTGTCCGCGGGAGGCGGCGTGCAGGGTGGTGGTGCGGCGGTTGCTGCGCGACGGCGTGCCCGTGGATTCAGCGCTGGCGCGCGCGCTCTCGCTGCACTTCCACGCCCTCCCGCCCACGTGCGCTTCCCCTCCTTAACCTTACCAGCCTCCGCAACCCTTGACAGCGACGAGTCCGTCCGTGCGTCCGTCTGTCCGTCCGTCCGTCCGTCCATTTCCCGTCAAATTTTTAGCGAGTTTCTGGACTGGTTACATTCTTTCCTCCCTCCAATCTCAGCCTTTCCCTTTGTTCATTCCGCTTCTTGTCCCTCCCTTCCGCCCCTTCTCTGCTCCCAACGGCAGTTATTCTGACAGTCTGCCCTCCCCGCACGCGGCGCTAGCGCACGTCCGCTTGCTGCGCCAGGCCGCCGCTCTTCCGCTTGGCGCGCCCGCGGTCGACATTTCTCTCCGCCACTGTGCGTGTGTCTCCGCTCCCGTCTCCGCGGCCGCCTCCGCTTACCCTGAAGGTTCCGCGGAGGCTGCGCGCAACTGCGCGCTTAGACCCGTTACAGGCGGCGCAGCCGCATGCGCGGGGGAAGACGCCTCCGCGTGTGCTATGGTGGCGGAAATAGATAATTGCCGCCGAGAGCCATGGGGGGAAGGGATTCCTGCAACTCCGCCATTGCCTCTCCGTCATGGCGCACCCGCTTCTGCCGCCGCTTCCGCTTCCGCTTCCGCACCCGCTTCCGCACCCGCTTCCGCTTCCGCTTCCGCGTCCGCATCCGCGTCAGCATCCGCATCCGCATCTCCCATGCTCCTAGACACTACCGGGCCCCACAGCGCAGCCGCACTCCCGGCGGCGACGGCAGCGGCGGCAGTTTCAGCTGCAAGAGGGGATGGCGGCGCCGCCGTAGCAGAAGCGGCAGCAGCAGCAGCGCGGGGGTCAGCAGCGGCGGTATCAGCGTCTGCGGCGGAAAGAGAAACGGCTTCCGCGGGAGGCAGCGCAGGGATGGAACCAGCGGCAGCGGGAGCCCTGGGCGCAGAGGGCGCAGCGGGCGCAGCCGGCGCAGGGGAAACGGCGGGGGCAGCGGGGGCGAGCGTGTTAGGTGCGCACATGGCGATACACATGCCGATGCGCGCGCTGATGCTGGACGACGCGGGCAGCGACTCGTCCTTCACCTCCGCCGCCACCACCGCGTCTGGCGCTACCTTCTCCACGTGCTCGGGCGCGGGCGGCGGCGGCGCAGGGGGAGCTGCGGGCGCAGCGGGCGCAGGGGGAGCGGGAGCAGGGGGAGCGGGAGCAGGGGGAGCGTTGAGCGGTGCAGGGAGTGGTGGTGGTGGTGGTGGTGCGGGTACTTGGAGAAGCGCGGAGGATGTGCTGGTGGGGGGCACTGGCGCTATGAGCCTCCTAGGGAGTTCGGGCGCACTGCCGCCGTCGCAGTATGATCTGAACCAGCACGCGCATCCCCTTCAGCAGCAACACGACCAGCAGCACCACCAGCAGAAGCACCAGCACCAGCAGCAGCAGCAGCAGCAACAGCAGCAGCAACAGCAGCAGCAGCAGCAGCAGCAGCAGCATGTGTGCGTGGAGGTAACCTGGGCGTGTAACATCCACCTGTGCAGGCATCTGCTGCTATCAGCCTTCTCCCAGGCCGGCATGCGGCCGGCTTCGCTTGTCCTCTTCCACCCTGCCATGCCACCCTCTCCCCGAGTAGGCTCGGGGAGCAGCGCTCACTCCGACCTCTCCCCTTCCGCCCGCGCGCAGGCTGTTCCGCCGGCGCAGTTTGCGCCCTCCCCTTCTTCTGCCCCCGCGTTCCCCTCTGCGCTTTCCCCTTCCGCACCCTGTGCTCCCCCCCCTGTTGGGGTGGGTACCGTCCCTCCTCCCTATGACACGGCCACACTGGGATGGATGCAGCTTCAGCTACCAAGGCACGAGCTCGTGGATGAGAGGCGGATAAGAGACACACTTAGCAAAGTGGGAGCTGCTGCTGCCACCGCTGCCGTCGCCTCTGCTGGTAATTCTGGCGGAACCGGAAAAGGAGGTGCAGTAACAGCCGCAGCAGCAGCTTTTTTCAGTGGGGCAGCAGGGGGAGGAGCAGTGGCAGGAGGGGCGGAGCGTTTCGACGGTTCACAATCAGGGGATGTGCGCAGGGGCAACCGCGGGAGGTGGGGGAGGAGAGCGGGGGGAGGGGGAGGTGGGGGGAGCGTTGGCGGGGGGAGTAGCGTTGGCGTTGGTGGGGCTAGTGCTGGTAGCGGTGTTAGCAGTGCGAGTGGTGTAAGCGGTGCAAGTGGTGCAAGTGGTCTCAGTAGCGTGCCTGGGTCCCTGTCTTCGCTTTGGAAACGGGCTGATCTGGGGGGTAATGGGGATAGCACCCATGGGGGTGGCAAGGGCAGGCGAGGCGGGCGAGGAGTGCGGCAGAAGCGGGAGCGGGATGAGAGGGAGAGAGAGGAGCGGGAAAGGGAGAGGGAGAAGAGGGGGTTCCGGTGGGAGAGGGACGAGAGTGGGTGTGAGGAGAGGGAGAGGGAGATGGAAAGGGAGAAGGAGAAGGAGAAGGAGAAGGAGAAGGAGAAGTGGGGGTTTCGGTACTCAGGAAGAAAGGCAGGGGCAATGATAGACTCGTTGCTGCTGGGACTGTCCAGCAGAAAGGCCCCTCCGCATGGTGAAGCCTCCACGTCCTCCTCTGCTTCGGCTGCTGCTACTGCCGGTGCTGTTGCGGCCGCGGCTGTGTCCCTCTCGCCTCTGACTCTCTCCTCCCCTGCTGCTAGTCCTGGGCCTTCTTATGCGGCCGCCTCCCCCCCGACCGCGTCTGCTGCTGCGCCTGGTGATGCGTGCGCTGCTGCTCCGGTTGCGGCCCTGGGGAATGCAGAGCGGGTGAGCGGTGATAGTGGTGCTATTGTGCCGATGGGGGGTGCCGGATTAGGAGGGCACATAGCAGACGTAGCAGGAGCAGCAGTGGCAGCAGAAGCAGCAGGGATGGCAGGGGCGGCAGGTTGGCAAGGCATGGACATAGAGGCGAGGGTAGATGACAGCGATGCTCTGAATAGCGCTGGAGATGGGATGCGAGGAGGCGGAGGCGGAGGAGGAGGAGGAGAAGGAGCAGGTGCTGCTGCTGCCGCTGCTGGTGAGCTTGGCGACAGCAGTGGCAGCGGCAGCGGTAGTGGGCGGGGGGGTGTGCTGTTCTATGTGAAGAGCCGGGGGCGTGGGACGGAGAGCAGCAAGCGGGCGAGTAGGATCAAGAGCACGCGTAAGTGTGAGGGTGAAGGTACGGAGGCGTTGACTCCGCATGCACATGCGAGTGAACCGGGGCCGTTGGAACGAGAGGGATCGACACAGACATGTGTGCAGGCAGAAGGCGCAGCAGGTGTGGCTGTACGAGTGCAGCTGCAGAGACATGGAGAGGGGCATGGGCATGGGGGTGAAGTGAGAGAGGGAGAGGGAGAAGGAGAGGGAGCAGGGAGGAGGGAGCAGGGGCGGACGCCTGGGAGAGTGATGGTGGGAGTGATGAAGCCGGTGAGTGGCTTGGGTGGTGGTGCTCACAGGTTCGGATCCACTGGCATGTTCGCTGCTGCTGCTGCTGCTCCACGTATCGTCATTGCAGAGCACACAGGCGACACTGGCACAGGTGCCATGGCAGAAGGAGCAGCAGCACCCACAGCAGCAGGAGGGGCAGCCGCAGCAGCAGCAGCAGGGGGAGGAGGAGCCGCAGCAACAGCAGCAGGAGGCGAGGCAGGGGGCGGGTTGCTGCAGCTGCTGCTATCAGAGCAAGGAGCAATGAAGGAGAAACTAGGCAAGTTCATGCTGGACCCGATCCGCCTTGATATCGGCCACGTGCTCGCCGTGGGCGCCTCCGGCGAGGTGCGGCGCGGGCGCTACCAGGGCCGGGAGGTCGCCGTGAAAGTTCTCAAGGCGGAGAGGCATGAGGCGCATACGGCGAGAGCAGAGTTTCGGAGAGAGGTGGTGACGCTGGTTTCGTGTGGGGAGTGCCCGCATTTGCTGAAGTTTTACGGGGTTTGTGTGGATATGAGGCAGCGGATGTGTATAGTGACGAAGCTGATGAAAGGGGGGAATCTGCATGATATGCTGAGGCGAAGGCATGGCGTGGGGCTGCCGCTGCCGCAGCTGGTGAAGGTGGCGATGGAGGTGGCGCTGGGGATGCGGTTTCTCCACCGCCATGGCATCATTCACAGGTATGAGCTGCATGGGCGTTGCATGGGCGTTGGTTGGTTGGGTGTATTTTTGAGGCGCCTCAAAAGCAGCTGGTGAAGGTAGCGATGGAAGTGGCGCTGGGGATGCGGTTTCTCCACCGCCATGGCATCATTCACAGGTATGAGCTGCATGGGCGTTGCATGGGCGTTGGTTGGTTGGGTGTATTTTTGAGGCGCCTCAAAAGCAGCTGGTGAAGGTAGCGATGGAAGTGGCGCTGGGGATGCGGTTTCTGCACCGCCATGGCATCATTCACCGGTGCGTGCGTGTAGCGCGGGTCTTGTGTGGGTGTTGGATGGGTGTGGGATGGGTGTGGGATGGGATGGGTGTTTCTTAGGTGTGATGTGAGATGGGTGTTCATCGGGTGCTGGATGGGTTTGGGATGGGTGTTTGGTGGGACCGTGGGTGTTCAGATGGGTACTGAGGTTCCTAGCCCAGATGGTCGTTTGCCCATGTGGGTAGGTCTTTGCCTTTCCCGCCCTCCCATATCCATCTCCGCAACCCTCTCCACCCCGTCTAACCCTCCCACCGCTCCCCACCGCACCCAACCGCACCCAACCACCAGGGACCTCAAGCCAGCAAACGTGCTCCTAGACGAGCAGGGGCGCGCCGTCGTAGGAGATTTCGGCGTGGCACGGCTCATCAGAGAGCGTGCCGAGATGACCAAGGAGGTGGGCACCTACCGCTGGATGGCCCCTGAAGCCTTCGGCACCACAGGGATTTTTAAGCCGCCTAAAATACCGCCCTCTTTCTTTCTCCCGTCTCCATCTCCCCAACCCCCTCCACCCCATCCAACCCCTCCCAACCGCGCCCAACCACCAGGGACCTCAAGCCAGCAAACGTGCTCCTAGACGAGCAGGGGCGCGCCGTCGTAGGCGACTTTGGCGTGGCACGGCTCATCAGAGAGCGCGCCGAGATGACCAAGGAGGTGGGCACCTACCGCTGGATGGCCCCAGAGGCATTCGGCACCACAGGCCAATGGACCGTGACCCAACGCAGCGACGTGTACAGCTTCGGGATTGTCCTCTGGGAGCTGCTCACCGCGCGGTTACCCTACGAGGACTACTCGCCGCTACAGGCGGCGGTGGCGGTGGCTCTGAATGGGTTGCGGCCGCCGCTGCCTCACGAGTGCCATGCGGGGGTGAGGAGATTGATAGAGCGGTGCTGGGCGCGGGATCCGGGGGATAGGCCGGAGTTTGATGAGATTGTAAGGGCGCTGGCGGCGATTGGGGGTGAGGGCGTGGGGGTGGAGTGGGAGGGGATGGGTGGTGTGGTGGAGGTGGGTGTGGGTGTGGAGGGAGAGGAGAGGGGGCGGGGGGTGGTGGGGGTTCGAAGAGGCGAGGAGAAGGACGGTGATGGTAAAGCCGATGGTGGTCCTGGTGGTGGTGTTGCTGCGGCTGCCGCTGCTGCTGTTGGTGGGGGTGGGCACGCTGTTATTGCTGCGGAGGTTATGGAGCAGCACATGCCCAACAGCCAGCCCAGAAGTGACACCTTTCCTGCTGCTGCTCCCATGCAGGAACTGCAGCAGCCGCAGCACCACGCACAGCAGCAACAGCGGCCGCAGGTGGTACTGGTGGAGCAGCGGGGGGTGCAAGGAAGGCCCATGCAGCAGGGAGATTCCAGTGCAGCCCTTGCATCCATGCAGAACGGTCCTGCTCGTGAGTGCTTGCAGTCGATAAGCGGGCCTGAGCGGGGTGGGAGCGAGAGCGAGGGGGCGATGGACGGGACGTGCGAGGAGGCAATGGAGGTGGTGGAGCAGATGCTTCCAGAGCTGCATGTCAGTGAGGGGGAGGGAGGGCGGGGCGAGAAGAACGTGCGTGCAGGACGGTGAAGGTGAAAGGTGCAAGTGCACGTGAAACTGCCGAAGCGAAGCAGCAGTGGGAGGAGGCAATGGAGGTGGTGGAGCAGATGCTTCCGGAGCTGCATGTCAGTGAGGGAGGAGGCGGGCAGGGCGAGAAGAACGTGCGTGCAGGACGGTGAAGGTGAAAGGTGCAGGAAGAGCTGCACTACAAGCGAAGCAGCAATTGAGGTGAGTGGAGTGGAGCAGATGGTTCCGGAGCTGCATGTTGGTGAGGGAGAGGGCGGGCGGGCGGGCGGGCGGGCGAGACAGGAGAGATAAAGCGCATGGAGGAGGAATGTGAAGGGGAAAGTGCAAGGGAGGAGCAGAGGTGGGAGAGGTGGGATTGGAAGTGTCTTCACCAGCAGCAGAGCAGACCCGTGAAGCATTATTGAGCGACAGTTGAGGATGTCGCATACCCTCAAGGCTCAAGCTGCTACCAGTGATATCGACTTTTGAGGCGCCTCAAAGGATGTCGCATACCCTCAAGGCTCAAGCTGCTACCAGTGATATCGCGAGCAGCAATAGAAGCAGCAGCACTCGCTGTGGCAAGAGCAGCAGCTGCTATCGCTTCAGTCTCCGGCTGCGGATGAGTCTCACTTACAGCAGATTGTCGCACATGCGTTATGTCACACCACCACATCACACCACACCATGTCACACCACACCACGTCACACCACACCACGTCACACCACCACATCACACCACACCCCATCACATCACACCACATCACATCACACCACGTCACACCACACCACGTCACACCACCACCACATCACACCAGCGCACCATATTTGCAAAAGAGCTGGATACCACTCCCACCTTAACACAGGGAGTGATGCAGCGTGTTTTTTTTGGGGGGAATGCTGCCAGATACTGCTGCCAGATACTGCTGCCAGATACTGCTGCCAGATACTGCTGCCAGATACTGCTGCCAGCGGTGCTGCCAATGCTGCTGTGCTGTGGATGCGGCTCCCCGATTGTCAGCACCTGCTGCTGCCAGTGAGGCTAGATGATGATACCTATACATGCGGGGGGAATACGCAGGGACCATGATGGGATGGGTTTGGGAGTGGAGTGTACGATTGGCAGCAGCGCAAGCACAGCAGCGGCACAGAAACATGGCTGCACTGCACTACTGTGGTACTCCTTTCGTCCCCCCCCCTCTCCATCTCTGTTGTGTTGTGCAAGCATGTTTTTTCTTCTCCCCTGCTCGCGACGAGCTCTGCTAGCTTCTTTTCTGCGCCACCCATAAGGCAATGGCGTGATTTCTTGATTTCTTTACAGCAGCAAGACATGTGGTGTGCCATGCTCTGATACCGTAGTATATTAAAAAAGTGCTCATTTTAGTATCTGTTATTGCTTATAATGCTGGGCAGACTCCTCTCACCTCTTGCAAGTGAATATTCCCCAAAGTGGCAGCAAAGACAGCAGAAGCAACACCCATTCATGCCAGTCCCACAAATTGGTTGTGATAATGTGATGTGAACCAACCATAACCCATCGGTGCTAGTGTAGCTCTCCATATCGAGACTGAACACACTACAACATCATGTGCTCAGGTCTTCTTGTTCCATTCCCCCCCCCCCCCCCCCCCTCTTTACCATAGCACATGGGCACAGTACACTCACAAAGCAGGCCCATGTTGGCTTGCTTGCAATGCAGTGACGATGGATAGATGGAACCTCGTAGCAAGCAGATTGGCTACGTAGCGAGTGTGCTAATTTGCCGAGTGTTTCGCAATAGTAAATGCTTCAGTGAACGTCAGCAAGGTTTGTCAAGTCAACTACCGTCATCGCCCGGATATAAGACATATATGTCTTATACACTAAAAAAAATGCTTGGGTTACCGTATCTTGTATTTGGGGAGGTTTTGGGTGTCTTATAAGTCTTATAAATGGAAACTTTTTTAAACTACTTAGAAATATTTTCACACATCTTGAAAAGAGTTTCTCATTATGAGTGTGGATGTTGCGAAGGTGCCACTTCGGCAACCATTGTTCGGGGTGCCACGTCATGGAGAATACTTGCCAAGGCAAATTTGGTAGTACGTGAGTCAGCACGTGGCAGAATTCGCGTGTCGCAAGGGTAAAAATGTACGCGGTACTTCAATTTTCACTACAATATATTGCAGTTTCGATTATAAGACACATGTCTTATCTCGTACACACAAATAGGTGTCTTATAATGAGGCTAGCCTGTTTATAAGAGACACCCGTATAATAGACAACCCCTGTCTACTATTCAACACTGTCTTATATCCGGGAGATGACGGTAGGATACCATAGTTCACATTACTGGACCTACCGGTACTAATTGCTACAGTAGTGATGATGGGCAGGCGGGACTAAACAGTTCCTTCCTAGTACCGGTACCTACACTCTCCATCCCATCATCAACCGCTGGCAGGTGCTGCTGCTGGTGCTGCTGCTGCTGGTGGTGGTGGTGCTGCTGCTGGTGCTGCTGATACTGCTGGTAAACCCTCTGCTACACCAACTGTTGCTTTGTCCCCTGCATCACTCCCCACTGCTGCTGCTGCTCCAGCTGTTCCCAATCCTTCCACCTGTGCCCCCGCTGCCCCTGCTCTACTCAACCCTGCTCCTCCTGCTCCCCCCTGTGCTATACCTGGTCCTACCCACCCACGTCCTCGCTCCCCTCCTACACCTGCTCCTCCTCTGCCTCCTCCCCCTCCTCCACTCCACCCCCCTCGTCCTCCTCCTCCTCCCCCTCCTCCTCCACCCCACCCTCCTCGTGCTCCTCCCCCTCGTCCTGCTCCTCCACCTCCACCCCCTCCTCCCCCCCACCCCCCTCATTGTGTGCGAGGGGAGGCGCGGGTCACACGCAGCAACATCATGCCCAGGCGCTGAGCGGTGCAAACAGGTGGGGAGGAGCAGGGAGGGGTGAAAATGTAAGATGGAGGCACACGATGGAGAAATCAGGCGGCTCTGGACATGTGAGTGTGGAAGGGAAGGGGTGGAGAGGCTTCGAGAACCGGATTCTAGGCACCTAGGAAACATTTGGGCGTCTTACTAACGGCCGTTGCGGTACCTCAAAATGAGAGAAACGGCAAGAGAGAAAACCAGGAGAAATATAAACAGCAAGAGAACTACAGAAGGAGAGCAAAAATAAGAGAGCTGCAACACAAGACCTGCAGCACAAGCATTGAAAAGGAACGTTGAGGGGACAGGGGAATGCACCTGGCCGTCAAGATGCTTCTGAGCAGCATCGGCGTCGTCAGATCGGACGAACTCCACAAAGCCGTACCCCTTGGTCTGATTGCTGTCCACGTGCCGTGGGACCGACACTGCAGCCAGGGGAGCGATGTGTAGGCGAAGTAGACAGGGTTTTGAGGACTTTGAAAGATCGGCTCATCGCACGCAGTCAGTGCAGCGTGACGTAGGTGTAGGAGAGAAGAGAGGAGAGGAGAGGAGAGGAGAGGATAGGATAGGAGAGGATAGGATAGGAGAGAACAGTGGCCGGAAGAAGGAACGGCACATATCAAGAAAAAACACACGCCAAGGAACAGTAGAGAGACTAGGAGCAGCAAGCAGAGGAAGAAAGGACGCTTGACCTGATGGTTATCAGTAAGGAGCTTGTAGACGCAATCAACAATCAACCTAAAAATGATGCAGCAAGGCAGGTGCTGCTAATGAATTGACTCAAACGCAGCAAGGAAGACCTTCCTTATGACGCAACTTCAAAGCCGCACGCAAAGGAGAATTGGACAGCAGGTGATGCAAGAGGCGGCAGCAGGCAGCAGGCAGCATGAGTGGTGTTGTGCCATAGCAGACCAGTTGACCCCAAAACAAACAAAAAACCGAGTCGACTCGAAAATGGAAAAAAAAAGGTCCGAGGCGACTAGAAAATATGAAATGTTTGAAACGGATATTAAAAGCGGCGGCGGCAGCAGCAGGAAGCAAGAATGGCGGGGTAGCATGCTATCAGATCATATCATACCATGGCGGACGGGGCCGAAGGAGCTGAAGGCGTCTTTGAATCGTGTTTTGAGTCTAGTTTTGAGTCGAGTTTTGAGTTGACTCAAAACACGACTCATTACACGCGGAGTTTTGAGTCGACTCAAATGGCAGGTTAGCATGGCATCATATCAGATCAGATCATACCATGGCGGACAGGGCCGAAGGAGCTGAAGGCATCTTTGAGCGTGTTCTCATCCACTTCATAGCCCAGGCCTGGTGGACACGTGGTGGCGAAACCCCGGAGGAAGGGAGAGAAGAAAAAGGGCAAGGAGGGGAAAGAAGAGGAACGGGTTTAGTGAATCTAATGGGTTTTGAGGTGCCCGCTGGTTTAATTTAACGGAGGAGGGACCAAAAAAGGGGCTGGCTGGGGGGAAGGAAATGGGGGTGCGGGTGGATGGGGAGGGAAGGGCGGGGGAGGGGAGGGGGTGAGAACGAAACAGCGTGAGAAGGAGAAGAGGATGAGAGAGAGGAGAAAGGCCGAATGGGGAAAACAACGAGTGAGTGGGCGCGTACCGCCCACGAAGAGTCGGGTTTGGAAGTATGCGCCACCGCCACCCCTGTCACCGCCACCACGAGCGCCCCCACCACCAAACGGCGCATTGTGGGACGACGCTCCGTATGGAACCGCTCTGCTGCTAGGAGCAGCAGCGCCGTTGAAAGGAGCCCCGTTAGAAGGAGCCCTGTTGTATGGAGTAGCGTTGGCAGGCGCACTCCTGGTAGGGGCACCGCTAGTGGGAGCAGCATGGGTGGGAACGGCATCCTTTGGGGGAGCAACAACGGATTCCGCACCGCTAGAAGCTGCAACGTTAGAAGCGGCATCGGCGGAAGCAGTATCGGCGGAAGCAGCATCGGCGGAAGCAGCATCAGCAGCAGCGGCGGCGCCATGCGCAGCGTGATGCATCAGCGCGGCGGGCTGCGCGCGCCAGGGGGAGTGCGCCAAGGAGCCATGATCCGCCTGCACGTGCGCGCGCGCCAACGACAGCGCATGCACCAGCGCTTGCGGTTGCGCTTGTGGTTGCGGTTGCGGCTGCGGTTGCGCCTGTGGCGGGGGTTGTGCTTGCCCTTGTGTGAGGGAATGCCGCGGCGCGAGTAGCGATTGCCCTTGCAGCGCGGGCTGTTGGCGGCCCCCGCGAAGGAGTGCTGCTGCGGAACGGCGGCGGAAGAGGGACGATCTGAGGCGTGGAAGTCGATGCATGATGGGCAGTGGGATGGGCGCTTGGGGATAGAATGATACACAAGGTGGAACCAAACGGGAGGTGGGATGAAACGCGGAGTGGCAGGAAGAAACGATCAGAACGATCAGGAGGGACAAATCGTCGTGGTGGCGGCTGTGGTGGTGGCGGCGGCGGCGGCGGCGGCGGCGGCGGCGGCAGCGGCGGTGGTGGTGGTGGTAGGAGAGCTTGCAGTTAGTCGACTGCGTGAGAAGGTGAGCGGTAGACGCTTCTAAAAAGACCCTCGGAACACGAGGGACACGCGGATGCGCTGCTGCCACGTCAGCGATCGTCGCGATTGGATCGGATCAGAGCAATCACTCGCGAGAGAGGTTTGCTTGCGACGTGGGCATGCGACGGCGCGCGACGATGGATCCTATCGCCGAGCGACGGCGGACGATCTGTGAGGGCTGATCCGAGGAACCTAAAAACCGGAAAGACGCGCGACCGATGAAAGGACAGCCCACCGAATGCAGCAAATTTGAGGAATCTGCTTTGTTTTCTCGTGCGACCCGTGATCGCAGGTTTATTGAAGGGTTTAAAACGGGCAGGGGGAATATCTCGTCGTAGCCCCACCAACGATTCAAGGAAAACACAACATTCGAGGATATTGTATCGGGCAGGAGTGGTTGCACGTCCAGGACAGGGTGTTTTTGGGAGAAAACACGAGGCTGAAAGCTCGGGATTGAGAACTAACGATTGAAATGTGATTGAGATGTTAACAAAGCGGTGAGATTGAATCATTCCGTGGTTGCACCCCTCCCTGGTGCCCTCCTCCGTCGAACTACCGTCCCCACATTGCTAGCTAAATAAACAAAAAAAACAAACACACTGATCTCCCTCCCGTCTTGATTACTTTCCGTTCGCCTCCCGCACTTCCTTCCCAACCCACAAGTGATCATCACCTCTCAACAACCCCCATGTCTCAGACGGAGCCTGAAAATGCGCCGCAACTCGCGGCAACACGAGTCGGCGACGACGAGTCGAAAGCCGCATTTTCCGCGCGTACAGAAAGAGTTGACGACGCGGCGGGAGAAAGAGACGGGAGGGACGGGCAGGATGGGCGGGACGCGTCTCCGTCCCCCCCGTCCTCGTCATGCGTGGACGCGTCGCTTCTAGCGGAAGAGCTTAGCGCGTCCACTCTTGCGGCGCTGCAGGATTTCCTTTCCGCGCAAGCCGCCGCCGCGCAGCACCAGCACGCGCTTTCCGCGCAAGCGGCGGATACCGGCTCCGCGGAAGGGGGGCGCGCGGGCGGGGATGAGGCTGGCGGAGCTGCGCGCGATGGGGAAGGCGCGGGGACAACGGGGGGACAGGAAGCGGTTGGAGACGCGCTGTTTGCGGAGGATTGGGGTTTAAGCCAGTTCTGGTACGACGCGCACACTTCCGCGACTGTGGCGGCGGAAGTGGCGCGGTTGATGGGCGGAGGCGCGGCTTGCGCGCGTGCTGATGAGGAGGGGAAAGGAGAGGAGGCGGAGGAAAAACCGCGGGAAGAAGCGGACGGGGAAAGCGCGGGGGGAGGGAAGGGCGTCGAACGAAAGGAGGGGAGGGGGAATGGGGAGGGGGAGGGGGAGAGTAGCGTGGGCAGCGGAGGCCCCAGATGTTGCTGTGTGGCTTGCCCGACCCTGTTCCGTGAACTAGTCGTGAGTTGCGCTACAGTTGCTGCTGCTGCTGCTGCTCCTCCTCCTCCTCCTCCTCCTCCTCCTCCTCCTGCCCCGCAGCATTGCACAGCGCATCTTGTGTAGAGTGAGACACGTGTGGGGATGTGATGATAAATACTTCTGTGGAGTGAGACGTGTGCGCCTGCCGTGAGCTATTCTTTTACCTCCCTTCCCATCTTTCCCCCATTCCCCTTTTCCCCCTTACCTCTTTTCCCCCTTTCCCTCTTTCCCGTTTCCCCGTTTCCCCCCTTTCCCCCGGCCGCCCCGCCCCTCCCCCAACCAGCGCCGCTACCCGACCATGAACGTGCATCTGCTGCATGAAATCCCACATGCCTTCACCCACTTGCACCCGCCGCACTCTCTCCCGCCCCCCTTTCCCCCCACCCCTCCTCCACCAGCGGCGCTACCCCGCCATGGACGTGCATCTGCTGGAGTACGACCGGCGCTTTGCTGCCTTTGCGCCGCGCTTCTCCCGCTACGACTACCGCACGCCCCTAGACGTGCCCGCTGCTCTGCACCACCGCTTCGACGTCGTTGTCGCCGACCCGCCCTACCTGGTGCGTTTCTCTGAGTAGACTCAGGAACCAGCTTATGCGTCGTTGTTGTGGACTGGACCCCCCTGTCTGTCTGGTGCGTGCGTGCGCATCCCCATGCGCCCATTCATGCGTCTTGCCATTTCAAGTGAGACACATCATCTGATCTTCTTGAATGCCACACGTTGCTGTGTGTGCGTGCGGCGTCTCACAACCCAAGAACGCTTCGCGAGCACCTCCACTTGCAGTGCCTGGAGGGAGGCTATACACCCTCTCGCAAGTGGAGGTGCTTCCCTTCTCCCTCTCGCTCAACCACCCACCCCCTTGCTTCCCCCATGTTCCCTGCATGCCCTTGCTTTCTCATCGTTTTTTCATACGCTAAACAATGTGACAAAGTCATGGCTCCGAACCCTGGTTCACCCCCTTGGAACGCTGGACTTGGTCATTCACCGTCGTGGTTCCCTCTGCTTCTCTTTGTCGCCCCCCTGTTTCCCCTTGTCGTCTCCATGCCTTTCCCTTGTCTTCCCCTCGTCTTCTCCTTGTCCCCATCCCCCTGCGAGCAGAGTGAGGAGTGTTTGGAGAAGACAGCACAGACCATGAAGCTGCTAGCCAAGGAGGGGGACTCCACTGCCACTCCGCCCAGCCTCCTCCTCCTCACAGGTACCATTTTTTTCCGTCACACTTCTAACATATACAACCCCTCCTCCTCCTCCTCCCCTCGCCCTCCCCCATCTCCACCTTCTCTCTGCCCCTTGGTTCCTCCGTTCCTCCTTTGCCTTTCTCCCCCGCGCTGCCTCCCGCCACGCCTGATGTAGCACGCCTGCTGTAGCACGCCTGCTGTAGCGTGCCTGCTGTAGCGCGCCTGCTGTAGCGCGCGTGCTGTAGCAAGACTCTGCTGCACACAGCCTTTTGGTCGTCCTTTCCTTGTGCTCCCCTAACCTTGCCTCTCTGTATCGCTCCCGACCATCATGATCCCAGCATTCCCCTTGATGAGTCTCAGCATGCAACCCATGATACAAATCCCTTTTCACCATCATTCCCCCGTTGCTCTCCACTCCACAACCTCCTTCCCCCCTTCCCTTCCGTTCCCCCCTGCCACATTCAATCATCTCACCATCCCTACCTAGTCAACTTTTGAGACGTCTCAAGAGATGCCCAACCAGTCTCCTCACCCCGTTTTCACCTCGACCTGGTATTTCCCCGTCTCCCCCCTGCTCCCTCCTTGCACACCACACTCGCCCCTTCTGCACCCCAGGTGCAGTGCAGGCGGAGGCAGCAAAACGTCTGCTGCAGCTGCGCCCGGCTGTGTTCCGTCCAGAGCACCGCAACAAGCTCGGCAACGACTTCCGCCTCTTCACCTCCTACCCGCCGCCCCAATCCCTTGGCGGCTGGGAGCCTGATAGCTAGGCTAGGTTGGATCAGAGTGAGGTAGGATACTGTAGAAGGGATTAGTGAGTCGACTCAAGGATCACCCCCAGTTGTGACCGCCTCACCTTTTAACCGCATCCACCCTCCCCTGACGGCTGAAGGCCTGATTTATTGGCTGCTGTGGCATGTCATGCTGTGGTGAGCTATAGAATGGTGTGATGTTCAAACGGTTTCATTCTTGCCGGTACAGAGACATACCTGGAAAGTACGGTAGTTACGCAATCCAACTGGTATAGTATAGAAACATGTGTGTGATATACGGCTAGAGGACAAAGTCTGCACTATGAAAAGCACCATTTGAACTCAGCAGCATGGCCTGGGAACTAGGAGGGAGGCCATGCTTGCAACAACCGCCCTTCAACTACCGTACCGTAGTTTTATGGTGTGCAAAGCAATAGCCATGATGACATAGGTGGTGACAGAGACACGAGGCAGCTATCATTACCTATAACCAACGCGGGCACTAAAGGAAGCACCACTAGAGCAGCAATGATGAAGCCTCCTCATCGCCACTCAAACGGTCCACACCACTGGTGGCACTATTACCGGTGCCTGCTTGTCCTTGCCATTGCCCTTGCCCTGCTGGTGCACTTGCATGAGGGCTGCTGCTAGCATGAACATTGCTGGCTCCTCCCTGCGCCAACCACCCAGCACTTGCTACGCCACTGCTGCCCGGGTTGCCAGCACCACCGCTGCCAACACCGGCAATAGCTGCAGCAGTAGCTACTGCTGCAGGAGAAGCAGCAGGACCAGCAGGACCACTAGCAGCAGCAGAATTGAAGTCTGATGATAAGTCTAAGTCAACCAGGGGAGCATCGTCCCTTCTATCTGTCACTGCACTTGCAGGTGAGTGCAAGCTACTCGCCCCGCCTCGCTGCTGCTCCCTGTTTGAATGCCCTGAATGCACTCCTGTCAACACTGGTGACGCCGCTGCTGTTCCTGCTAATCCTGCTGCTCCACCTGCTGCTTCCCCAGTAATTCCCCCAACAGGAGGACAGTCTATCAAAATCTCCTCAATCTCCACCTCCTGCTCCTCTTGACCCTGCCGATTCTGCTGAGAATCTTGCTGCCGCTGCTGCTGTTGCTGCTGTTGTTGCTGCTGCTGTTGTTGCTGTTGTTGTTGTTGCCGGTGATGGTCGTTGTAGCTTTGCCGATGCTCATCTTCATAAGCAGCAAGATCACTGCGAGTAACTTGGTCACTGCCTATCTCGTCCACTCTCTCCATTATCTGCTGTGGATCCGACCCTCTTCTCCTCACACTTCCCCGCACGTTCTTCCCTCGCACGTTTGGCAACTGTTGACTGCCTTGCTGCTGATGGTGCTGCTCATGCTCTTGCTGGTGATCAAAGCGAGCGCCCATCTCCCGCAACTGCACTTCCATCTGCTGCTGCTGAAGGTGCTGCGCGGGCGACTGGGGGGCAGCAGATGAGCCGCGGCGTAGGAGGCGAGGTGTGAACGTCTGGTGGGAAGATAGCACAGGCAAGAGAAGAGATGGGGAACGGAGGAGGGGCGCGTAGAGGAGGAGAGAGGGAGTGAGGCACATGCTGCGGGATACTTGAAAGTCAGGGAAGGGTTGAAAGCTGGGAGAGGTTCATGGATGTGCAGTACTTTAGCTGCGGGTAATGAGACAACTCTTGAGGTGCCTTAAAAGTATTGATGGAATGAGGAGGTTCATGGATGAGCAGTGCATTTGCTGCGCATGAGCTGGGCAGGGAAGGATTGCTGCGGGCAATGAGACAACTCTTGAGGCGCCTTAAAAGGACTGAAGGAATGACGAGGTTCATGGATGAGCAGTGCAGTGCAGTGGCATCAGCCATGACATGCCATTCAGTCCATGCTATGCAATGGTGGCAGTAGTTGCAAAGAGGCGTAGTCACCCAAAGACACATGGTCTAGAGGCAGGATGGCATGGGATGGCATGGCATGACATGACATGCCCAAGCCACCAAGAAACCCCCCTCCCCCACCCGCCTCCCTCCCTTTCCTTCACTGCTCACCTCGATCTTGCCTTCCTCCCATGTGAGGTCCTCAAACTCTGCATGCCCAAGCAAACAGCATGCAACCACGACATTCCTCCCATCCCTATTTCCCCCCTTTCCCCACACCCTTTCACCAGTCCCTCCCTTTCCTTTACTGCTCACCTCGATCTCGCCTTCCTCCCATGTGAGGTCCTCAAACTCTGCATGCCCAAGCAAACAGCATGCAACCACGACATTCCTCCCATCCCTATTTCCCCCCTTTCCCCACACCCTTTCACCAGTCCCTCCCTTTCCTTTACTGCTCACCTCGATCTCGCCTTCCTCCCATGTGAGGTCCTCAAACTCTGCATGCCCAAGCAAACAGCATGCAACCACGACATTCCTCCCATCCCTATTTCCCCCCTTTCCCCACACCCTTTCACCAGTCCCTCCCTTTCCTTTACTGCTCACCTCGATCTCGCCTTCCTCCCATGTGAGGTCCTCAAACTCTGCATGCCCAAGCAAACAGCATGCAACCACGACATTCCTCCCATCCCTATTTCCCCCCTTTCCCCACACCCTTTCACCAGTCCCTCCCTTTCCTTTACTGCTCACCTCGATCTCGCCTTCCTCCCATGTGAGGTCCTCAAACTCTGCATGCCCAAGCAAACAGCATGCAACCGCGACATTCCTCCCATCCCTATTTCCCCCCTTTCCCCACACCCTTTCACCAGTCCCTCCCTTTCCTTTACTGCTCACCTCGATCTCGCCTTCCTCCCATGTGAGGTCCTCAAACTCTGCATGCCCAAGCAAACAGCATGCAACCACGACATTCCTCCCATCCCTATTTCCCACCTTTCCCCACACCCTTTCACCAGTCCCTCCCTTTCCTTTACTGCTCACCTCGATCTCGCCTTCCTCCCATGTGAGGTCCTCAAACTCTGCATGCCCAAGCAAACAGCATGCAACCGCGACATTCCTCCCATCCCTATTTCCCCCCTTTCCCCACACCCTTTCACCAGTCCCTCCCTTTCCTTTACTGCTCACCTCGATCTCGCCTTCCTCCCATGTGAGGTCCTCAAACTCTGCATGCCCAAGCAAACAGCATGCAACCACGACATTCCTCCCATCCCTATTTCCCACCTTTCCCCACACCCTTTCACCAGTCCCTCCCTTTCCTTCACTGCTCACCTCGATCTCGCCTTCCTCCCATGTGAGGTCCTCGAACTCTGCATGCCCAAGCAAACAGCATGCAACCACGACATTCCTCCCATCCCTATTTCCCCCCTTTCCCCACACCCTTTCACCAGTCCCTCCCTTTCCTTTACTGCTCACCTCGATCTCGCCTTCCTCCCATGTGAGGTCCTCAAACTCTGCATGCCCAAGCAAACAGCATGCAACCACGACATTCCTCCCATCCCTATTTCCCCCCTTTCCCCACACCCTTTCACCAGTCCCTCCCTTTCCTTTACTGCTCACCTCGATCTCGCCTTCCTCCCATGTGAGGTCCTCAAACTCTGCATGCCCAAGCAAACAGCATGCAACTACGACATTCCTCCCATCCCTATTTCCCCCCTTTCCCCACACCCTTTCACCAGTCCCTCCCTTTCCTTTACTGCTCACCTCGATCTCGCCTTCCTCCCATGTGAGGTCCTCAAACTCTGCATGCCCAAGCAAACAGCATGCAACCACGACATTCCTCCCATCCCTATTTCCCCCCTTTCCCCACACCCTTTCACCAGTCCCTCCCTTTCCTTTACTGCTCACCTCGTTCTCGCCTTCCTCCCATGTGAGGTCCTCAAACTCTGCATGCCCAAGCAAACAGCATGCAACCACGACATTCCTCCCATCCCTATTTCCCCCCTTTCCCCACACCCTTTCACCAGTCCCTCCCTTTCCTTTACTGCTCACCTCGATCTCGCCTTCCTCCCATGTGAGGTCCTCAAACTCTGCATGCCCAAGCAAACAGCATGCAACCGCGACATTCCTCCCATCCCTATTTCCCCCCTTTCCCCACACCCTTTCACCAGTCCCTCCCTTTCCTTCACTGCTCACCTCGATCTCGCCTTCCTCCCATGTGAGGTCCTCAAACTCTGCATGCCCAAGCAAACAGCATGCAACCACGACATTCCTCCCATCCCTATTTCCCCCCTTTCCCCACACCCTTTCACCAGTCCCTCCCTTTCCTTTACTGCTCACCTCGATCTCGCCTTCCTCCCATGTGAGGTCCTCAAACTCTGCATGCCCAAGCAAACAGCATGCAACCACGACATTCCTCCCATCCCTATTTCCCCCCTTTCCCCACACCCTTTCACCAGTCCCTCCCTTTCCTTTACTGCTCACCTCGATCTCGCCTTCCTCCCATGTGAGGTCCTCAAACTCTGCATGCCCAAGCAAACAGCATGCAACCACGACATTCCTCCCATCCCTATTTCCCCCCTTTCCCCACACCCTTTCACCAGTCCCTCCCTTTCCTTTACTGCTCACCTCGATCTCGCCTTCCTCCCATGTGAGGTCCTCAAACTCTGCATGCCCAAGCAAACAGCATGCAACCACGACATTCCTCCCATCCCTATTTCCCCCCTTTCCCCACACCCTTTCACCAGTCCCTCCCTTTCCTTTACTGCTCACCTCGATCTCGCCTTCCTCCCATGTGAGGTCCTCAAACTCTGCATGCCCAAGCAAACAGCATGCAACCACGACATTCCTCCCATCCCTATTTCCCCCCTTTCCCCACACCCTTTCACCAGTCCCTCCCTTTCCTTTACTGCTCACCTCGATCTCGCCTTCCTCCCATGTGAGGTCCTCAAACTCTGCATGCCCAAGCAAACAGCATGCAACCACGACATTCCTCCCATCCCTATTTCCCACCTTTCCCCACACCCTTTCACCAGTCCCTCCCTTTCCTTTACTGCTCACCTCGATCTCGCCTTCCTCCCATGTGAGGTCCTCAAACTCTGCATGCCCAAGCAAACAGCATGCAACCGCGACATTCCTCCCATCCCTATTTCCCCCCTTTCCCCACACCCTTTCACCAGTCCCTCCCTTTCCTTTACTGCTCACCTCGATCTCGCCTTCCTCCCATGTGAGGTCCTCAAACTCTGCATGCCCAAGCAAACAGCATGCAACCACGACATTCCTCCCATCCCTATTTCCCACCTTTCCCCACACCCTTTCACCAGTCCCTCCCTTTCCTTCACTGCTCACCTCGATCTCGCCTTCCTCCCATGTGAGGTCCTCGAACTCTGCATGCCCAAGCAAACAGCATGCAACCACGACATTCCTCCCATCCCTATTTCCCCCCTTTCCCCACACCCTTTCACCAGTCCCTCCCTTTCCTTTACTGCTCATCTCGATCTCGCCTTCCTCCCATGTGAGGTCCTCAAACTCTGCATGCCCAAGCAAACAGCATGCAACCACGACATTCCTCCCATCCCTATTTCCCCCCTTTCCCCACACCCTTTCACCAGTCCCTCCCTTTCCTTTACTGCTCACCTCGATCTCGCCTTCCTCCCATGTGAGGTCCTCAAACTCTGCATGCCCAAGCAAACAGCATGCAACCACGACATTCCTCCCATCCCTATTTCCCACCTTTCCCCACACCCTTTCACCAGTCCCTCCCTTTCCTTTACTGCTCACCTCGATCTCGCCTTCCTCCCATGTCAGGTCCTCAAACTCTGCATGCCCAAGCAAACAGCATGCAACTACGACATTCCTCCCATCCCTATTTCCCCCCTTTCCCCACACCCTTTCACCAGTCCCTCCCTTTCCTTTACTGCTCACCTCGATCTCGCCTTCCTCCCATGTGAGGTCCTCAAACTCTGCATGCCCAAGCAAACAGCATGCAACCACGACATTCCTCCCATCCCTATTTCCCCCCTTTCCCCACACCCTTTCACCAGTCCCTCCCTTTCCTTTACTGCTCACCTCGATCTCGCCTTCCTCCCATGTGAGGTCCTCAAACTCTGCATGCCCAAGCAAACAGCATGCAACCACGACATTCCTCCCATCCCTATTTCCCCCCTTTCCCCACACCCTTTCACCAGTCCCTCCCTTTCCTTCACTGCTCACCTCGATCTCGCCTTCCTCCCATGTGAGGTCCTCAAACTCTGCATGCCCAAGCAAACAGCATGCAACCACGACATTCCTCCCATCCCTATTTCCCCCCTTTCCCCACACCCTTTCACCAGTCCCTCCCTTTCCTTCACTGCTCACCTCGATCTCGCCTTCCTCCCATGTGAGGTCCTCAAACTCTGCATGCCCAAGCAAACAGCATGCAACCACGACATTCCTCCCATCCCTATTTCCCCCCTTTCCCCACACCCTTTCACCAGTCCCTCCCTTTCCTTTACTGCTCACCTCGATCTCGCCTTCCTCCCATGTGAGGTCCTCAAACTCTGCATGCCCAAGCAAACAGCATGCAACCGCGACATTCCTCCCATCCCTATTTCCCCCCTTTCCCCACACCCTTTCACCAGTCCCTCCCTTTCCTTTACTGCTCATCTCGATCTCGCCTTCCTCCCATGTGAGGTCCTCAAACTCTGCATGCCCAAGCAAACAGCATGCAACCACGACATTCCTCCCATCCCTATTTCCCACCTTTCCCCACACCCTTTCACCAGTCCCTCCCTTTCCTTTACTGCTCACCTCGATCTCGCCTTCCTCCCATGTGAGGTCCTCAAACTCTGCATGCCCAAGCAAACAGCATGCAACCACGACATTCCTCCCATCCCTATTTCCCCCCTTTCCCCACACCCTTTCACCAGTCCCTCCCTTTCCTTTACTGCTCACCTCGATCTCGCCTTCCTCCCATGTCAGGTCCTCAAACTCTGCATGCCCAAGCAAACAGCATGCAACTACGACATTCCTCCCATCCCTATTTCCCCCCTTTCCCCACACCCTTTCACCAGTCCCTCCCTTTCCTTTACTGCTCACCTCGATCTCGCCTTCCTCCCATGTGAGGTCCTCAAACTCTGCATGCCCAAGCAAACAGCATGCAACCACGACATTCCTCCCATCCCTATTTCCCACCTTTCCCCACACCCTTTCACCAGTCCCTCCCTTTCCTTTACTGCTCACCTCGATCTCGCCTTCCTCCCATGTGAGGTCCTCAAACTCTGCATGCCCAAGCAAACAGCATGCAACCGCGACATTCCTCCCATCCCTATTTCCCCCCTTTCCCCACACCCTTTCACCAGTCCCTCCCTTTCCTTTACTGCTCACCTCGATCTCGCCTTCCTCCCATGTGAGGTCCTCAAACTCTGCATGCCCAAGCAAACAGCATGCAACCACGACATTACTCCCATCCCTATTTCCCACCTTTCCCCACACCCTTTCACCAGTCCCTCCCTTTCCTTCACTGCTCACCTCGATCTCGCCTTCCTCCCATGTGAGGTCCTCGAACTCTGCATGCCCAAGCAAACAGCATGCAACCACGACATTCCTCCCATCCCTATTTCCCCCCTTTCCCCACACCCTTTCACCAGTCCCTCCCTTTCCTTTACTGCTCATCTCGATCTCGCCTTCCTCCCATGTGAGGTCCTCAAACTCTGCATGCCCAAGCAAACAGCATGCAACCACGACATTACTCCCATCCCTATTTCCCCCCTTTCCCCACACCCTTTCACCAGTCCCTCCCTTTCCTTTACTGCTCACCTCGATCTCGCCTTCCTCCCATGTGAGGTCCTCAAACTCTGCATGCCCAAGCAAACAGCATGCAACCACGACATTACTCCCATCCCTATTTCCCCCCTTTCCCCACACCCTTTCACCAGTCCCTCCCTTTCCTTTACTGCTCACCTCGATCTCGCCTTCCTCCCATGTCAGGTCCTCAAACTCTGCATGCCCAAGCAAACAGCATGCAACTACGACATTCCTCCCATCCCTATTTCCCCCCTTTCCCCACACCCTTTCACCAGTCCCTCCCTTTCCTTTACTGCTCACCTCGATCTCGCCTTCCTCCCATGTGAGGTCCTCAAACTCTGCATGCCCAAGCAAACAGCATGCAACCACGACATTACTCCCATCCCTATTTCCCCCCTTTCCCCACACCCTTTCACCAGTCCCTCCCTTTCCTTTACTGCTCACCTCGATCTCGCCTTCCTCCCATGTGAGGTCCTCAAACTCTGCATGCCCAAGCAAACAGCATGCAACCACGACATTACTCCCATCCCTATTTCCCCCCTTTCCCCACACCCTTTCACCAGTCCCTCCCTTTCCTTCACTGCTCACCTCGATCTCGCCTTCCTCCCATGTGAGGTCCTCAAACTCTGCATGCCCAAGCAAACAGCATGCAACCACGACATTACTCCCATCCCTATTTCCCCCCTTTCCCCACACCCTTTCACCAGTCCCTCCCTTTCCTTCACTGCTCACCTCGATCTCGCCTTCCTCCCATGTGAGGTCCTCGAACTCTGCATGCCCAAGCAAACAGCATGCAACCACGACATTCCTCCCATCCCTATTTCCCCCCTTTCCCCACACCCTTTCACCAGTCCCTCCCTTTCCTTCACTGCTCACCTCGATCTCGCCTTCCTCCCATGTGAGGTCCTCAAACTCTGCATGCCCAAGCAAACAGCATGCAACCACGACATTACTCCCATCCCTATTTCCCCCCTTTCCCCACACCCTTTCACCAGTCCCTCCCTTTCCTTTACTGCTCACCTCGATCTCGCCTTCCTCCCATGTCAGGTCCTCAAACTCTGCATGCCCAAGCAAACAGCATGCAACTACGACATTCCTCCCATCCCTATTTCCCCCCTTTCCCCACACCCTTTCACCAGTCCCTCCCTTTCCTTTACTGCTCACCTCGATCTCGCCTTCCTCCCATGTGAGGTCCTCAAACTCTGCATGCCCAAGCAAACAGCATGCAACCACGACATTACTCCCATCCCTATTTCCCCCCTTTCCCCACACCCTTTCACCAGTCCCTCCCTTTCCTTCACTGCTCACCTCGATCTCGCCTTCCTCCCATGTGAGGTCCTCAAACTCTGCATGCCCAAGCAAACAGCATGCAACCACGACATTACTCCCATCCCTATTTCCCCCCTTTCCCCACACCCTTTCACCAGTCCCTCCCTTTCCTTCACTGCTCACCTCGATCTCGCCTTCCTCCCATGTGAGGTCCTCAAACTCTGCATGCCCAAGCAAACAGCATGCAACCACGACATTACTCCCATCCCTATTTCCCCCCTTTCCCCACACCCTTTCACCAGTCCCTCCCTTTCCTTCACTGCTCACCTCGATCTCGCCTTCCTCCCATGTGAGGTCCTCAAACTCTGCATGCCCAAGCAAACAGCATGCAACCACGACATTACTCCCATCCCTATTTCCCCCCTTTCCCCACACCCTTTCACCAGTCCCTCCCTTTCCTTCACTGCTCACCTCGATCTCGCCTTCCTCCCATGTGAGGTCCTCAAACTCTGCATGCCCAAGCAAACAGCATGCAACCACGACATTACTCCCATCCCTATTTCCCCCCTTTCCCCACACCCTTTCACCAGTCCCTCCCTTTCCTTCACTGCTCACCTCGATCTCGCCTTCCTCCCATGTGAGGTCCTCAAACTCTGCATGCCCAAACAAACAGCATGCAACCACGACATTACTCCCATCCCTATTTCCCCCCTTTCCCCACACCCTTTCACCAGTCCCTCCCTTTCCTTCACTGCTCACCTCGATCTCGCCTTCCTCCCATGTGAGGTCCTCAAACTCTGCATGCCCAAGCAAACAGCATGCAACCACGACATTACTCCCATCCCTATTTCCCCCCTTTCCCCACACCCTTTCACCAGTCCCTCCCTTTCCTTCACTGCTCACCTCGATCTCGCCTTCCTCCCATGTGAGGTCCTCAAACTCTGCATGCCCAAGCAAACAGCATGCAACCACGACATTACTCCCATCCCTATTTCCCCCCTTTCCCCACACCCTTTCACCAGTCCCTCCCTTTCCTTCACTGCTCACCTCGATCTCGCCTTCCTCCCATGTGAGGTCCTCAAACTCTGCATGCCCAAGCAAACAGCATGCAACCACGACATTACTCCCATCCCTATTTCCCCCCTTTCCCCACACCCTTTCACCAGTCCCTCCCTTTCCTTCACTGCTCACCTCGATCTCGCCTTCCTCCCATGTGAGGTCCTCAAACTCTGCATGCCCAAGCAAACAGCATGCAACCACGACATTACTCCCATCCCTATTTCCCCCATTTCCCCACACCCTTTCACCAGTCCCTCCCTTTCCTTCACTGCTCACCTCGATCTCGCCTTCCTCCCATGTGAGGTCCTCAAACTCTGCATGCCCAAGCAAACAGCATGCAACCACGACATTACTCCCATCCCTATTTCCCCCCTTTCCCCACACCCTTTCACCAGTCCCTCCCTTTCCTTCACTGCTCACCTCGATCTCGCCTTCCTCCCATGTGAGGTCCTCAAACTCTGCATGCCCAAGCAAACAGCATGCAACCACGACATTACTCCCATCCCTATTTCCCCCCTTTCCCCACACCCTTTCACCAGTCCCTCCCTTTCCTTCACTGCTCACCTCGATCTCGCCTTCCTCCCATGTGAGGTCCTCAAACTCTGCATGCCCAAGCAAACAGCATGCAACCACGACATTACTCCCATCCCTATTTCCCCCCTTTCCCCACACCCTTTCACCAGTCCCTCCCTTTCCTTCACTGCTCACCTCGATCTCGCCTTCCTCCCATGTGAGGTCCTCAAACTCTGCATGCCCAAGCAAACAGCATGCAACCACGACATTACTCCCATCCCTATTTCCCCCCTTTCCCCACACCCTTTCACCAGTCCCTCCCTTTCCTTCACTGCTCACCTCGATCTCGCCTTCCTCCCATGTGAGGTCCTCAAACTCTGCATGCCCAAGCAAACAGCATGCAACCACGACATTACTCCCATCCCTATTTCCCCCCTTTCCCCACACCCTTTCACCAGTCCCTCCCTTTCCTTCACTGCTCACCTCGATCTCGCCTTCCTCCCATGTGAGGTCCTCAAACTCTGCATGCCCAAGCAAACAGCATGCAACCACGACATTACTCCCATCCCTATTTCCCCCCTTTCCCCACACCCTTTCACCAGTCCCTCCCTTTCCTTCACTGCTCACCTCGATCTCGCCTTCCTCCCATGTGAGGTCCTCAAACTCTGCATGCCCAAGCAAACAGCATGCAACCACGACATTCCTCCCATCCCTATTTCCCCCCTTTCCCCACACCCTTTCACCAGTCCCTCCCTTTCCTTCACTGCTCACCTCGATCTCGCCTTCCTCCCATGTGAGGTCCTCAAACTCTGCATGCCCAAGCAAACAGCATGCAACCACGACATTACTCCCATCCCTATTTCCCCCCTTTCCCCACACCCTTTCACCAGTCCCTCCCTTTCCTTTACTGCTCACCTCGATCTCGCCTTCCTCCCATGTGAGGTCCTCAAACTCTGCATGCCCAAGCAAACAGCATGCAACCACGACATTCCTCCCATCCCTATTTCCCCCCTTTCCCCACACCCTTTCACCAGTCCCTCCCTTTCCTTTACTGCTCACCTCGATCTCGCCTTCCTCCCATGTGAGGTCCTCAAACTCTGCATGCCCAAGCAAACAGCATGCAACCACGACATTACTCCCATCCCTATTTCCCCCCTTTCCCCACACCCTTTCACCAGTCCCTCCCTTTCCTTCACTGCTCACCTCGATCTCGCCTTCCTCCCATGTGAGGTCCTCAAACTCTGCATGCCCAAGCAAACAGCATGCAACCACGACATTACTCCCATCCCTATTTCCCCCCTTTCCCCACACCCTTTCACCAGTCCCTCCCTTTCCTTTACTGCTCATCTCGATCTCGCCTTCCTCCCATGTGAGGTCCTCAAACTCTGCATGCCCAAGCAAACAGCATGCAACCACGACATTACTCCCATCCCTATTTCCCCCCTTTCCCCACACCCTTTCACCAGTCCCTCCCTTTCCTTTACTGCTCACCTCGATCTCGCCTTCCTCCCATGTGAGGTCCTCAAACTCTGCATGCCCAAGCAAACAGCATGCAACCACGACATTACTCCCATCCCTATTTCCCCCCTTTCCCCACACCCTTTCACCAGTCCCTCCCTTTCCTTTACTGCTCACCTCGATCTCGCCTTCCTCCCATGTGAGGTCCTCAAACTCTGCATGCCCAAGCAAACAGCATGCAACCACGACATTACTCCCATCCCTATTTCCCCCCTTTCCCCACACCCTTTCACCAGTCCCTCCCTTTCCTTCACTGCTCACCTCGATCTCGCCTTCCTCCCATGTGAGGTCCTCAAACTCTGCATGCCCAAGCAAACAGCATGCAACCACGACATTACTCCCATCCCTATTTCCCCCCTTTCCCCACACCCTTTCACCAGTCCCTCCCTTTCCTTCACTGCTCACCTCGATCTCGCCTTCCTCCCATGTGAGGTCCTCAAACTCTGCATGCCCAAGCAAACAGCATGCAACCACGACATTACTCCCATCCCTATTTCCCCCCTTTCCCCACACCCTTTCACCAGTCCCTCCCTTTCCTTCACTGCTCACCTCGATCTCGCCTTCCTCCCATGTGAGGTCCTCAAACTCTGCATGCCCAAGCAAACAGCATGCAACCACGACATTACTCCCATCCCTATTTCCCCCCTTTCCCCACACCCTTTCACCAGTCCCTCCCTTTCCTTCACTGCTCATCTCGATCTCGCCTTCCTCCCATGTGAGGTCCTCAAACTCTGCATGCCCAAGCAAACAGCATGCAACCACGACATTACTCCCATCCCTATTTCCCCCCTTTCCCCACACCCTTTCACCAGTCCCTCCCTTTCCTTCACTGCTCACCTCGATCTCGCCTTCCTCCCATGTGAGGTCCTCGAACTCTGCATGCCCAAGCAAACAGCATGCAACCACGACATTACTCCCATCCCTATTTCCCCCCTTTCCCCACACCCTTTCACCAGTCCCTCCCTTTCCTTCACTGCTCACCTCGATCTCGCCTTCCTCCCATGTGAGGTCCTCAAACTCTGCATGCCCAAGCAAACAGCATGCAACCACGACATTACTCCCATCCCTATTTCCCCCCTTTCCCCACACCCTTTCACCAGTCCCTCCCTTTCCTTTACTGCTCATCTCGATCTCGCCTTCCTCCCATGTGAGGTCCTCAAACTCTGCATGCCCAAGCAAACAGCATGCAACCACGACATTACTCCCATCCCTATTTCCCCCCTTTCCCCACACCCTTTCACCAGTCCCTCCCTTTCCTTCACTGCTCACCTCGATCTCGCCTTCCTCCCATGTGAGGTCCTCAAACTCTGCATGCCCAAGCAAACAGCATGCAACCACGACATTACTCCCATCCCTATTTCCCCCCTTTCCCCACACCCTTTCACCAGTCCCTCCCTTTCCTTCACTGCTCACCTCGATCTCGCCTTCCTCCCATGTGAGGTCCTCAAACTCTGCATGCCCAAGCAAACAGCATGCAACCACGACATTACTCCCATCCCTATTTCCCCCCTTTCCCCACACCCTTTCACCAGTCCCTCCCTTTCCTTCACTGCTCACCTCGATCTCGCCTTCCTCCCATGTGAGGTCCTCAAACTCTGCATGCCCAAGCAAACAGCATGCAACCACGACATTCCTCCCATCCCTATTTCCCCCCTTTCCCCACACCCTTTCACCAGTCCCTCCCTTTCCTTTACTGCTCACCTCGATCTCGCCTTCCTCCCATGTGAGGTCCTCAAACTCTGCATGCCCAAGCAAACAGCATGCAACCACGACATTCCTCCCATCCCTATTTCCCCCCTTTCCCCACACCCTTTCACCAGTCCCTCCCTTTCCTTTACTGCTCACCTCGATCTCGCCTTCCTCCCATGTGAGGTCCTCAAACTCTGCATGCCCAAGCAAACAGCATGCAACCACGACATTCCTCCCATCCCTATTTCCCCCCTTTCCCCACACCCTTTCACCAGTCCCTCCCTTTCCTTCACTGCTCACCTCGATCTCGCCTTCCTCCCATGTGAGGTCCTCGAACTCTGCATGCCCAAGCAAACAGCATGCAACCACGACATTCCTCCCATCCCTATTTCCCCCCTTTCCCCACACCCTTTCACCAGTCCCTCCCTTTCCTTTACTGCTCACCTCGATCTCGCCTTCCTCCCATGTGAGGTCCTCAAACTCTGCATGCCCAAGCAAACAGCATGCAACCACGACATTCCTCCCATCCCTATTTCCCCCCTTTCCCCACACCCTTTCACCAGTCCCTCCCTTTCCTTTACTGCTCACCTCGATCTCGCCTTCCTCCCATGTGAGGTCCTCAAACTCTGCATGCCCAAGCAAACAGCATGCAACCACGACATTCCTCCCATCCCTATTTCCCCCCTTTCCCCACACCCTTTCACCAGTCCCTCCCTTTCCTTTACTGCTCACCTCGATCTCGCCTTCCTCCCATGTGAGGTCCTCAAACTCTGCATGCCCAAGCAAACAGCATGCAACCGCGACATTCCTCCCATCCCTATTTCCCCCCTTTCCCCACACCCTTTCACCAGTCCCTCCCTTTCCTTTACTGCTCACCTCGATCTCGCCTTCCTCCCATGTGAGGTCCTCAAACTCTGCATGCCCAAGCAAACAGCATGCAACCACGACATTCCTCCCATCCCTATTTCCCCCCTTTCCCCACACCCTTTCACCAGTCCCTCCCTTTCCTTTACTGCTCACCTCGATCTCGCCTTCCTCCCATGTGAGGTCCTCAAACTCTGCATGCCCAAGCAAACAGCATGCAACCGCGACATTCCTCCCATCCCTATTTCCCCCCTTTCCCCACACCCTTTCACCAGTCCCTCCCTTTCCTTTACTGCTCACCTCGATCTCGCCTTCCTCCCATGTGAGGTCCTCAAACTCTGCATGCCCAAGCAAACAGCATGCAACCACGACATTCCTCCCATCCCTATTTCCCCCCTTTCCCCACACCCTTTCACCAGTCCCTCCCTTTCCTTTACTGCTCACCTCGATCTCGCCTTCCTCCCATGTGAGGTCCTCAAACTCTGCATGCCCAAGCAAACAGCATGCAACCGCGACATTCCTCCCATCCCTATTTCCCCCCTTTCCCCACACCCTTTCACCAGTCCCTCCCTTTCCTTTACTGCTCACCTCGATCTCGCCTTCCTCCCATGTGAGGTCCTCAAACTCTGCATGCCCAAGCAAACAGCATGCAACCGCGACATTCCTCCCATCCCTATTTCCCCCCTTTCCCCACACCCTTTCACCAGTCCCTCCCTTTCCTTCACTGCTCACCTCGATCTCGCCTTCCTCCCATGTGAGGTCCTCAAACTCTGCATGCCCAAGCAAACAGCATGCAACCGCGGCATTACTCCCATCCCTATTTCCCCCCTTTCCCCACACCCTTTCACCAGTCCCTCCCTTTCCTTCACTGCTCACCTCGATCTCGCCTTCCTCCCATGTGAGGTCCTCGAACTCTGCATGCCCAAGCAAACAGCATGCAACCACGACATTCCTCCCATCCCTATTTCCCCCCTTTCCCCACACCCTTTCACCAGTCCCTCCCTTTCCTTTACTGCTCATCTCGATCTCGCCTTCCTCCCATGTGAGGTCCTCGAACTCTGCATGCCCAAGCAAACAGCATGCAACCACGACATTCCTCCCATCCCTATTTCCCCCCTTTCCCCACACCCTTTCACCAGTCCCTCCCTTTCCTTTACTGCTCACCTCGATCTCGCCTTCCTCCCATGTGAGGTCCTCAAACTCTGCATGCCCAAGCAAACAGCATGCAACCACGACATTCCTCCCATCCCTATTTCCCCCCTTTCCCCACACCCTTTCACCAGTCCCTCCCTTTCCTTCACTGCTCACCTCGATCTCGCCTTCCTCCCATGTGAGGTCCTCAAACTCTGCATGCCCAAGCAAACAGCATGCAACCACGACATTACTCCCATCCCTATTTCCCCCCTTTCCCCACACCCTTTCACCAGTCCCTCCCTTTCCTTCACTGCTCACCTCGATCTCGCCTTCCTCCCATGTGAGGTCCTCGAACTCTGCATGCCCAAGCAAACAGCATGCAACCACGACATTCCTCCCATCCCTATTTCCCCCCTTTCCCCACACCCTTTCACCAGTCCCTCCCTTTCCTTTACTGCTCATCTCGATCTCGCCTTCCTCCCATGTGAGGTCCTCAAACTCTGCATGCCCAAGCAAACAGCATGCAACCACGACATTCCTCCCATCCCTATTTCCCCCCTTTCCCCACACCCTTTCACCAGTCCCTCCCTTTCCTTCACTGCTCACCTCGATCTCGCCTTCCTCCCATGTGAGGTCCTCGAACTCTGCATGCCCAAGCAAACAGCATGCAACCACGACATTCCTCCCATCCCTATTTCCCCCCTTTCCCCACACCCTTTCACCAGTCCCTCCCTTTCCTTTACTGCTCACCTCGATCTCGCCTTCCTCCCATGTGAGGTCCTCGAACTCTGCATGCCCAAGCAAACAGCATGCAACCACGACATTCCTCCCATCCCTATTTCCCCCCTTTCCCCACACCCTTTCACCAGTCCCTCCCTTTCCTTTACTGCTCACCTCGATCTCGCCTTCCTCCCATGTGAGGTCCTCAAACTCTGCATGCCCAAGCAAACAGCATGCAACCACGACATTCCTCCCATCCCTATTTCCCCCCTTTCCCCACACCCTTTCACCAGTCCCTCCCTTTCCTTCACTGCTCACCTCGATCTCGCCTTCCTCCCATGTGAGGTCCTCAAACTCTGCATGCCCAAGCAAACAGCATGCAACCACGACATTCCTCCCATCCCTATTTCCCCCCTTTCCCCACACCCTTTCACCAGTCCCTCCCTTTCCTTTACTGCTCACCTCGATCTCGCCTTCCTCCCATGTGAGGTCCTCAAACTCTGCATGCCCAAGCAAACAGCATGCAACCACGACATTCCTCCCATCCCTATTTCCCCCCTTTCCCCACACCCTTTCACCAGTCCCTCCCTTTCCTTTACTGCTCACCTCGATCTCGCCTTCCTCCCATGTGAGGTCCTCAAACTCTGCATGCCCAAGCAAACAGCATGCAACCGCGACATTCCTCCCATCCCTATTTCCCCCCTTTCCCCACACCCTTTCACCAGTCCCTCCCTTTCCTTCACTGCTCACCTCGATCTCGCCTTCCTCCCATGTGAGGTCCTCAAACTCTGCATGCCCAAGCAAACAGCATGCAACCACGACATTCCTCCCATCCCTATTTCCCCCCTTTCCCCACACCCTTTCACCAGTCCCTCCCTTTCCTTTACTGCTCACCTCGATCTCGCCTTCCTCCCATGTGAGGTCCTCAAACTCTGCATGCCCAAGCAAACAGCATGCAACCACGACATTCCTCCCATCCCTATTTCCCCCCTTTCCCCACACCCTTTCACCAGTCCCTCCCTTTCCTTTACTGCTCACCTCGATCTCGCCTTCCTCCCATGTGAGGTCCTCAAACTCTGCATGCCCAAGCAAACAGCATGCAACCGCGACATTCCTCCCATCCCTATTTCCCCCCTTTCCCCACACCCTTTCACCAGTCCCTCCCTTTCCTTCACTGCTCACCTCGATCTCGCCTTCCTCCCATGTGAGGTCCTCAAACTCTGCATGCCCAAGCAAACAGCATGCAACCACGACATTCCTCCCATCCCTATTTCCCCCCTTTCCCCACACCCTTTCACCAGTCCCTCCCTTTCCTTTACTGCTCACCTCGATCTCGCCTTCCTCCCATGTGAGGTCCTCAAACTCTGCATGCCCAAGCAAACAGCATGCAACCGCGACATTCCTCCCATCCCTACTTCCCCCCTTTCCCCACACCCTTTCACCAGTCCCTCCCTTTCCTTTACTGCTCACCTCGATCTCGCCTTCCTCCCATGTGAGGTCCTCAAACTCTGCATGCCCAAGCAAACAGCATGCAACCGCGACATTCCTCCCATCCCTATTTCCCCCCTTTCCCCACACCCTTTCACCAGTCCCTCCCTTTCCTTTACTGCTCACCTCGATCTCGCCTTCCTCCCATGTGAGGTCCTCAAACTCTGCATGCCCAAGCAAACAGCATGCAACCACGACATTCCTCCCATCCCTATTTCCCCCCTTTCCCCACACCCTTTCACCAGTCCCTCCCTTTCCTTTACTGCTCACCTCGATCTCGCCTTCCTCCCATGTGAGGTCCTCAAACTCTGCATGCCCAAGCAAACAGCATGCAACCGCGACATTCCTCCCATCCCTATTTCCCCCCTTTCCCCACACCCTTTCACCAGTCCCTCCCTTTCCTTTACTGCTCACCTCGATCTCGCCTTCCTCCCATGTGAGGTCCTCAAACTCTGCATGCCCAAGCAAACAGCATGCAACCGCGACATTCCTCCCATCCCTATTTCCCCCCTTTCCCCACACCCTTTCACCAGTCCCTCCCTTTCCTTTACTGCTCACCTCGATCTCGCCTTCCTCCCATGTGAGGTCCTCAAACTCTGCATGCCCAAGCAAACAGCATGCAACCGCGACATTCCTCCCATCCCTATTTCCCCCCTTTCCCCACACCCTTTCACCAGTCCCTCCCTTTCCTTTACTGCTCACCTCGATCTCGCCTTCCTCCCATGTGAGGTCCTCAAACTCTGCATGCCCAAGCAAACAGCATGCAACCACGACATTCCTCCCATCCCTATTTCCCCCCTTTCCCCACACCCTTTCACCAGTCCCTCCCTTTCCTTTACTGCTCACCTCGATCTCGCCTTCCTCCCATGTGAGGTCCTCAAACTCTGCATGCCCAAGCAAACAGCATGCAACCGCGACATTCCTCCCATCCCTATTTCCCCCCTTTCCCCACACCCTTTCACCAGTCCCTCCCTTTCCTTTACTGCTCACCTCGATCTCGCCTTCCTCCCATGTGAGGTCCTCAAACTCTGCATGCCCAAGCAAACAGCATGCAACCGCGACATTCCTCCCATCCCTATTTCCCCCCTTTCCCCACACCCTTTCACCAGTCCCTCCCTTTCCTTTACTGCTCACCTCGATCTCGCCTTCCTCCCATGTGAGGTCCTCAAACTCTGCATGCCCAAGCAAACAGCATGCAACCGCGACATTCCTCCCATCCCTATTTCCCCCCTTTCCCCACACCCTTTCACCAGTCCCTCCCTTTCCTTTACTGCTCACCTCGATCTCGCCTTCCTCCCATGTGAGGTCCTCAAACTCTGCATGCCCAAGCAAACAGCATGCAACCACGACATTCCTCCCATCCCTATTTCCCCCCTTTCCCCACACCCTTTCACCAGTCCCTCCCTTTCCTTTACTGCTCACCTCGATCTCGCCTTCCTCCCATGTGAGGTCCTCAAACTCTGCATGCCCAAGCAAACAGCATGCAACCGCGACATTCCTCCCATCCCTATTTCCCCCCTTTCCCCACACCCTTTCACCAGTCCCTCCCTTTCCTTTACTGCTCACCTCGATCTCGCCTTCCTCCCATGTGAGGTCCTCAAACTCTGCATGCCCAAGCAAACAGCATGCAACCGCGACATTCCTCCCATCCCTATTTCCCCCCTTTCCCCACACCCTTTCACCAGTCCCTCCCTTTCCTTTACTGCTCACCTCGATCTCGCCTTCCTCCCATGTGAGGTCCTCAAACTCTGCATGCCCAAGCAAACAGCATGCAACCGCGACATTCCTCCCATCCCTATTTCCCCCCTTTCCCCACACCCTTTCACCAGTCCCTCCCTTTCCTTTACTGCTCACCTCGATCTCGCCTTCCTCCCATGTGAGGTCCTCAAACTCTGCATGCCCAAGCAAACAGCATGCAACCACGACATTCCTCCCATCCCTATTTCCCCCCTTTCCCCACACCCTTTCACCAGTCCCTCCCTTTCCTTTACTGCTCACCTCGATCTCGCCTTCCTCCCATGTGAGGTCCTCAAACTCTGCATGCCCAAGCAAACAGCATGCAACCGCGACATTCCTCCCATCCCTATTTCCCCCCTTTCCCCACACCCTTTCACCAGTCCCTCCCTTTCCTTTACTGCTCACCTCGATCTCGCCTTCCTCCCATGTGAGGTCCTCAAACTCTGCATGCCCAAGCAAACAGCATGCAACCGCGACATTCCTCCCATCCCTATTTCCCCCCTTTCCCCACACCCTTTCACCAGTCCCTCCCTTTCCTTTACTGCTCACCTCGATCTCGCCTTCCTCCCATGTGAGGTCCTCAAACTCTGCATGCCCAAGCAAACAGCATGCAACCGCGACATTCCTCCCATCCCTATTTCCCCCCTTTCCCCACACCCTTTCACCAGTCCCTCCCTTTCCTTTACTGCTCACCTCGATCTCGCCTTCCTCCCATGTGAGGTCCTCAAACTCTGCATGCCCAAGCAAACAGCATGCAACCGCGACATTCCTCCCATCCCTATTTCCCCCCTTTCCCCACACCCTTTCACCAGTCCCTCCCTTTCCTTTACTGCTCACCTCGATCTCGCCTTCCTCCCATGTGAGGTCCTCAAACTCTGCATGCCCAAGCAAACAGCATGCAACCACGACATTCCTCCCATCCCTATTTCCCCCCTTTCCCCACACCCTTTCACCAGTCCCTCCCTTTCCTTTACTGCTCACCTCGATCTCGCCTTCCTCCCATGTGAGGTCCTCAAACTCTGCATGCCCAAGCAAACAGCATGCAACCGCGACATTCCTCCCATCCCTATTTCCCCCCTTTCCCCACACCCTTTCACCAGTCCCTCCCTTTCCTTTACTGCTCACCTCGATCTCGCCTTCCTCCCATGTGAGGTCCTCAAACTCTGCATGCCCAAGCAAACAGCATGCAACCGCGACATTCCTCCCATCCCTATTTCCCCCCTTTCCCCACACCCTTTCACCAGTCCCTCCCTTTCCTTTACTGCTCACCTCGATCTCGCCTTCCTCCCATGTGAGGTCCTCAAAATCTGCATGCCCAAGCAAACAGCATGCAACCGCGACATTCCTCCCATCCCTATTTCCCCCCTTTCCCCACACCCTTTCACCAGTCCCTCCCTTTCCTTTACTGCTCACCTCGATCTCGCCTTCCTCCCATGTGAGGTCCTCAAACTCTGCATGCCCAAGCAAACAGCATGCAACCGCGACATTCCTCCCATCCCTATTTCCCCCCTTTCCCCACACCCTTTCACCAGTCCCTCCCTTTCCTTTACAGCTCACCTCGATCTCGCCTTCCTCCCATGTGAGGTCCTCAAACTCTGCATGCCCAAGCAAACAGCATGCAACCGCGACATTCCTCCCATCCCTATTTCCCCCCTTTCCCCACACCCTTTCACCAGTCCCTCCCTTTCCTTTACTGCTCACCTCGATCTCGCCTTCCTCCCATGTGAGGTCCTCAAACTCTGCATGCCCAAGCAAACAGCATGCAACCACGACATTCCTCCCATCCCTATTTCCCCCCTTTCCCCACACCCTTTCACCAGTCCCTCCCTTTCCTTTACTGCTCACCTCGATCTCGCCTTCCTCCCATGTGAGGTCCTCAAACTCTGCATGCCCAAGCAAACAGCATGCAACCACGACATTCCTCCCATCCCTATTTCCCCCCTTTCCCCACACCCTTTCACCAGTCCCTCCCTTTCCTTTACTGCTCACCTCGATCTCGCCTTCCTCCCATGTGAGGTCCTCAAACTCTGCATGCCCAAGCAAACAGCATGCAACCACGACATTCCTCCCATCCCTATTTCCCCCCTTTCCCCACACCCTTTCACCAGTCCCTCCCTTTCCTTTACTGCTCACCTCGATCTCGCCTTCCTCCCATGTGAGGTCCTCAAACTCTGCATGCCCAAGCAAACAGCATGCAACCACGACATTCCTCCCATCCCTATTTCCCCCCTTTCCCCACACCCTTTCACCAGTCCCTCCCTTTCCTTTACTGCTCACCTCGATCTCGCCTTCCTCCCATGTGAGGTCCTCAAACTCTGCATGCCCAAGCAAACAGCATGCAACCACGACATTCCTCCCATCCCTATTTCCCCCCTTTCCCCACACCCTTTCACCAGTCCCTCCCTTTCCTTTACTGCTCACCTCGATCTCGCCTTCCTCCCATGTGAGGTCCTCAAACTCTGCATGCCCAAGCAAACAGCATGCAACCACGACATTCCTCCCATCCCTATTTCCCCCCTTTCCCCACACCCTTTCACCAGTCCCTCCCTTTCCTTTACTGCTCACCTCGATCTCGCCTTCCTCCCATGTGAGGTCCTCAAACTCTGCATGCCCAAGCAAACAGCATGCAACCACGACATTCCTCCCATCCCTATTTCCCCCCTTTCCCCACACCCTTTCACCAGTCCCTCCCTTTCCTTTACTGCTCACCTCGATCTCGCCTTCCTCCCATGTGAGGTCCTCAAACTCTGCATGCCCAAGCAAACAGCATGCAACCACGACATTCCTCCCATCCCTATTTCCCCCCTTTCCCCACACCCTTTCACCAGTCCCTCCCTTTCCTTTACTGCTCACCTCGATCTCGCCTTCCTCCCATGTGAGGTCCTCAAACTCTGCATGCCCAAGCAAACAGCATGCAACCACGACATTCCTCCCATCCCTATTTCCCCCCTTTCCCCACACCCTTTCACCAGTCCCTCCCTTTCCTTTACTGCTCACCTCGATCTCGCCTTCCTCCCATGTGAGGTCCTCAAACTCTGCATGCCCAAGCAAACAGCATGCAACCACGACATTCCTCCCATCCCTATTTCCCCCCTTTCCCCACACCCTTTCACCAGTCCCTCCCTTTCCTTTACTGCTCACCTCGATCTCGCCTTCCTCCCATGTGAGGTCCTCAAACTCTGCATGCCCAAGCAAACAGCATGCAACCACGACATTCCTCCCATCCCTATTTCCCCCCTTTCCCCACACCCTTTCACCAGTCCCTCCCTTTCCTTTACTGCTCACCTCGATCTCGCCTTCCTCCCATGTGAGGTCCTCAAACTCTGCATGCCCAAGCAAACAGCATGCAACCGCGACATTCCTCCCATCCCTATTTCCCCCCTTTCCCCACACCCTTTCACCAGTCCCTCCCTTTCCTTTACTGCTCACCTCGATCTCGCCTTCCTCCCATGTGAGGTCCTCAAACTCTGCATGCCCAAGCAAACAGCATGCAACCGCGACATTCCTCCCATCCCTATTTCCCCCCTTTCCCCACACCCTTTCACCAGTCCCTCCCTTTCCTTCACTGCTCACCTCGATCTCGCCTTCCTCCCATGTGAGGTCCTCAAACTCTGCATGCCCAAGCAAACAGCATGCAACCACGACATTCCTCCCATCCCTATTTCCCCCCTTTCCCCACACCCTTTCACCAGTCCCTCCCTTTCCTTTACTGCTCACCTCGATCTCGCCTTCCTCCCATGTGAGGTCCTCAAACTCTGCATGCCCAAGCAAACAGCATGCAACCGCGACATTCCTCCCATCCCTATTTCCCCCCTTTCCCCACACCCTTTCACCAGTCCCTCCCTTTCCTTTACTGCTCACCTCGATCTCGCCTTCCTCCCATGTGAGGTCCTCAAACTCTGCATGCCCAAGCAAACAGCATGCAACCGCGACATTCCTCCCATCCCTATTTCCCCCCTTTCCCCACACCCTTTCACCAGTCCCTCCCTTTCCTTTACTGCTCACCTCGATCTCGCCTTCCTCCCATGTGAGGTCCTCAAACTCTGCATGCCCAAGCAAACAGCATGCAACCGCGACATTCCTCCCATCCCTATTTCCCCCCTTTCCCCACACCCTTTCACCAGTCCCTCCCTTTCCTTTACTGCTCACCTCGATCTCGCCTTCCTCCCATGTGAGGTCCTCAAACTCTGCATGCCCAAGCAAACAGCATGCAACCACGACATTCCTCCCATCCCTATTTCCCCCCTTTCCCCACACCCTTTCACCAGTCCCTCCCTTTCCTTTACTGCTCACCTCGATCTCGCCTTCCTCCCATGTGAGGTCCTCAAACTCTGCATGCCCAAGCAAACAGCATGCAACCACGACATTCCTCCCATCCCTATTTCCCCCCTTTCCCCACACCCTTTCACCAGTCCCTCCCTTTCCTTTACTGCTCACCTCGATCTCGCCTTCCTCCCATGTGAGGTCCTCAAACTCTGCATGCCCAAGCAAACAGCATGCAACCGCGACATTCCTCCCATCCCTATTTCCCCCCTTTCCCCACACCCTTTCACCAGTCCCTCCCTTTCCTTTACTGCTCACCTCGATCTCGCCTTCCTCCCATGTGAGGTCCTCAAACTCTGCATGCCCAAGCAAACAGCATGCAACCGCGACATTCCTCCCATCCCTATTTCCCCCCTTTCCCCACACCCTTTCACCAGTCCCTCCCTTTCCTTTACTGCTCACCTCGATCTCGCCTTCCTCCCATGTGAGGTCCTCAAACTCTGCATGCCCAAGCAAACAGCATGCAACCGCGACATTCCTCCCATCCCTATTTCCCCCCTTTCCCCACACCCTTTCACCAGTCCCTCCCTTTCCTTTACTGCTCACCTCGATCTCGCCTTCCTCCCATGTGAGGTCCTCAAACTCTGCATGCCCAAGCAAACAGCATGCAACCACGACATTCCTCCCATCCCTATTTCCCCCCTTTCCCCACACCCTTTCACCAGTCCCTCCCTTTCCTTTACTGCTCACCTCGATCTCGCCTTCCTCCCATGTGAGGTCCTCAAACTCTGCATGCCCAAGCAAACAGCATGCAACCACGACATTCCTCCCATCCCTATTTCCCCCCTTTCCCCACACCCTTTCACCAGTCCCTCCCTTTCCTTTACTGCTCACCTCGATCTCGCCTTCCTCCCATGTGAGGTCCTCAAACTCTGCATGCCCAAGCAAACAGCATGCAACCGCGACATTCCTCCCATCCCTATTTCCCCCCTTTCCCCACACCCTTTCACCAGTCCCTCCCTTTCCTTTACTGCTCACCTCGATCTCGCCTTCCTCCCATGTGAGGTCCTCAAACTCTGCATGCCGCTCCTCCAGAATCTGTGCGCCATTTGCATGCGCGCATCATATGGATTTAATGGGATTGCACGGATTGTATGAATGGTATGGATTGAATGAATTGAATGCACTGTATGGACTGAATGGATTGTATAAGAGAATGGCGGCCGCCACAACGTGGCAATCACAGGTGCGCATTGCACAAGTTATAATGAACAGCAAGGAAGCAAGAAACCAGACAAATGGTGAAAAATGATAGGGGGCGATATGTGGACGGCTGATAACACAGCTGAGATAGCAGAAAGGGGAGAGATGGTGGGGGAGGGGGAAGGAGGAAGGGGGAGGGGGGGGGGGCAGGGAAGAACACAATGAAGAGGAGCACCAGTCAAGGGGCACGGGGGTAGGGGCACAGGGGGACGGGCACTTGGTAGGGAAGACAGACCTCAGGCAGAAGGTCCTTGCGCGTGATGATGCCAACAGCTCTGGAGGGAGGCGGCACCACACACAGATGGCGCAGTCCCAGCTGCCGAAACAGCGTGTGCACCTGGCATGGTGGGATTGAGAAGGTGGGGAAGAGAGGGCACAAGGAGAAAAAGAGGGGGTGTAGTGGTGGCAGTGGCATGTTTGAAACATCAGCCATGCAACAGTCAAGCGGGTGCAATGGATGATGGTCTCTGAAAAGTAGACAGTCCGCTGCTTCTATCCCTCCAGATATTTGTGCTAAGGGATATAGACTTTGCACATCACATGTGCAAAGCAAGACTTGTTTTAGTAGGAAATGCAAGCTTAAAAGTTTCAGAGTATTTCCACCAACCGACTGCAAGCAACCCTGACTACAGAACGTGGTGGAGGTGGTGGAGTTGCAAAGTCTAAGAGTTTCAGAGAGTATTTTCCAATACTCCAGCAGCTCTGAGTCCGACTCACAGGACGTGGCGGAGGTGGTGGAGTTGCAAAGTCTAAGAGTTTCAGAGAGTATTTTCCAATACTCCAGCAGGTCTGAGTCCGACTCACAGGACGTGGTGGAGGTGGTGGAGTTGCCAGACGTGCAGAACATGCGTGTGTGTGTGTAGCCCAGCGAGGAGGTGGAAATGACACCTGAAGATCAGACCTTGTCAATCACGACAGGGTTTCACTCCAAAGCTACCCGGCAGCACGGGGAGCAGAGGGCTTTACTGGGTCATCAGCCGCCACTGGTGGCACCACCAGTGGCCACTGATGATCCAGAGGAACCCTCCTGCCCCCTGCTGCTGCGCGGCTGCCGGAGTAAAGCCCTACCGTCATTGACACGGCGCGATCTAAAAATCGAATTCCGCTTCCACCACCTCTTTGGGCTGGACTGCACACGCATACTTTGCACGTCTTGTCCCTTTCCACCACCTCCACCACATTCCGTGAGTCGGAAATGGGATCGGTGGAGTCGCCATGAATGCCTCACTCATCTCTCCACGCCAAGCAAATTCTCCCCCAAGGCCTCTCCCCATGCCCCAATCTCAATTCTCATGGACCCCGCCGTGTATATCCCCTTACCCCGCACCCACTGACCCATCGCGACGACCGCGAGCAGTCCAACCTCGCATGTGCGTGGGCGAGCGGTAGCAGCAGTGCTTCGTGGTCGACTCTGGCATATGCAAAAGCTTCATCTCCTCACCTCACGTCCAGCCCTTCCGGAGAGTTTGAGATCGTGAGGAATACGATGGTGAGCAATACGCACCTTAGTGAGATGAACACCTTACCGAGCAGTGCACCTTACCTACTGAACAGGCACCTATTAGGTACCAGACCAGGTACGTAAATACTGACCTTAGTGAGCGACATGTTCTCGTCAACGATGAAGGGCGTGGGGTTGAGGAAGGGCCTCAAAAATAGAACCCGTATGTGCGCAGTCTGTTGAAGCGGCTCAAAAGCAGCGCACATTTGAGCTACCTTAATACTGACCTTAGTGAGCGACATGTTCTCGTTAACGATGAAGGGCGTGGGGTTGAGGAAGGGCCTCAAAAATAGAACCCGTATGTGCGCAGTCTGTTGAAGCGGCTCAAAAGCAGCGCACATTTGAGCTACCTTAATACTGACCTTAGTGAGCGACATGTTCTCGTCAACGATGAAGGGCGTGGGGTTGAGGAAGGGCCCCAGGTCGATCCAGAGCGTGAGGTCCTCCCGCGACAGCTCTATGTCCCCAATGGTGATGCCCTTGGTGGACACCGGCTTGGCAAAGTCTGAGAACGAGTAGCTTCCCAGCGAGCGCAGGGAGCTGATGGTGGGCAGGAAGGGGGGAAGGAGTGATTGGGGGACGAGAGGAGTTTTGACAGAGAGGAGGGGAGGAGCAGCTGCTTAGGGAGCGCATGGCGAGCTGAACAAAGACGGGGTTTGGGGGTGAGGGGTAGGAGAGTGTGCGAGGGTGTGACGGCAACAAAGTGGAGAGAGGAGGCTAAAAAAGGAGTGGCTAGTCAGAGAACGTAGGGAGGTGGGTGGGGAGAGAGTGGGTGGGGGTGCAGGGGGTTACCTGGTCTGCAGGGGGTGCATTCTCTCAGTGGGCGACTGCTGAAAGTCCGCCTTGGAGCGCAGAAGCACCAACAGCTGGCTGCGATGGGGCAAGCCAGATACGAGAATGAGGAAGGGGGGGGGGGCGGGAGGGGGAGCAATAAGAGCAGGAGGAAAATAAGAGGGCAGTACGGGGGTTGAAAAGGACAGGAGGCAGCGGCAGCGGTGGCAGCTCCAGCATGAGCAGCATGAGCAGCATCACCCCCACGCACCTGCGCAGAATCAGCCCGGCAAGCGCCGTGTGCCCATCAGGCAGGTCCTGCAGCACGGGGTATCCATTGTGCGACGTAGACCGTAGCACCTCGGCGATGCGCCCCACCATCTCCACGCGCGCAAAGTACACCACCTTGGTGGACGCCGCGTCCCGCGCGGACAGCATGCGCATGAAGCGCTGCGACTGGGCCTCCAGGATGGGGATGCCACGCAGCTGCGCGTGCAGGTCGTAGAAACCCGCGTTCAACCCGTCTCCCACCGCCTGGTGTGGACAGCAGGGGAGTGAAGAAGGGGGAGAAGGAACTTTAGGACTCTGTCACCAGGATTCAGAAAGTGTGTGGAGGTTGTAGAAGCCCGCGTTCAACCCGTCGCCCACTGCTTGGTGCGTGGAGCGAAAGGGAGGGGGGGATGGAGGGATGAAAGTGGGGGGTGAAAGGAGGTGAATGATGATATAACAGGTTCAAAAACCCTCAAGAGGTTGCTTCTATTGCTTGCATGCATGCATGTGTGTGTATGTGTGGATGCACAAGGAGGTAGGAAGTGGTAAGTAGCTACTAGTTGCCTAACTACCTAGCTACATAGGTGGTATGTGAGGCAGGCAGGCAGGCAGGCAGTGGCGCGCAGCGACAGGCAGGGGCAGGCAATGGCAGGCAGGCAGCAGTAGGTGGAAGGTTGAGCAGCAGTAGGTGGAAGGTTGAGCAGCAGTAGGTGGAAGGTTGAGCAGCAGTAGGTGGAAGGTTGAGCAGCAGTAGGTGGAAGGTTGAGCAGCAGTAGGTGGAAGGTTGAGCAGCAGTAGGTGGAAGGTTGAGCAGCAGTAGGTGGAAGGTTGAGCAGCAGTAGGTGGAAGGTTGAGCAGCAGTAGGTGGAAGGTTGAGCAGCAGTAGGTGGAAGGTTGAGCAGCAGTAGGTGGAAGGTTGAGCAGCAGTAGGTGGAAGGTTGAGCAGCAGTAGGTGGAAGGTTGAGCAGCAGTAGGTGGAAGGTTGAGCAGCAGTAGGTGGAAGGTTGAGCAGCAGTAGGTGGAAGGTTGAGCAGCAGTAGGTGGAAGGTTGAGCAGCAGTAGGTGGAAGGTTGAGCAGCAGTAGGTGGAAGGTTGAGCAGCAGTAGGTGGAAGGTTGAGCAGCAGTAGGTGGAAGGTTGAGCAGCAGTAGGTGGAAGGTTGAGCAGCAGTAGGTGGAAGGTTGAGCAGCAGTAGGTGGAAGGTTGAGCAGCAGTAGGTGGAAGGTTGAGCAGCAGTAGGTGGAAGGTTGAGCAGCAGTAGGTGGAAGGTTGAGCAGCAGTAGGTGGAAGGTTGAGCAGCAGTAGGTGGAAGGTTGAGCAGCAGTAGGTGGAAGGTTGAGCAGCAGTAGGTGGAAGGTTGAGCAGCAGTAGGTGGAAGGTTGAGCAGCAGTAGGTGGAAGGTTGAGCAGCAGTAGGTGGAAGGTTGAGCAGCAGTAGGTGGAAGGTTGAGCAGCAGTAGGTGGAAGGTTGAGCAGCAGTAGGTGGAAGGTTTGAGCAGCAGTAGGTGGAAGGTTGAGCAGCAGTAGGTGGAAGGTTGAGCAGCAGTAGGTGGAAGGTTGAGCAGCAGTAGGTGGAAGGTTGAGCAGCAGTAGGTGGAAGGTTGAGCAGCAGTAGGTGGAAGGTTGAGCAGCAGTAGGTGGAAGGTTGAGCAGCAGTAGGTGGAAGGTTGAGCAGCAGTAGGTGGAAGGTTGAGCAGCAGTAGGTGGAAGGTTGAGCAGCAGTAGGTGGAAGGTTGAGCAGCAGTAGGTGGAAGGTTGAGCAGCAGTAGGTGGAAGGTTGAGCAGCAGTAGGTGGAAGGTTGAGCAGCAGTAGGTGGAAGGTTGAGCAGCAGTAGGTGGAAGGTTGAGCAGCAGTAGGTGGAAGGTTGAGCAGCAGTAGGTGGAAGGTTGAGCAGCAGTAGGTGGAAGGTTGAGCAGCAGTAGGTGGAAGGTTGAGCAGCAGTAGGTGGAAGGTTGAGCAGCAGTAGGTGGAAGGTTGAGCAGCAGTAGGTGGAAGGTTGAGCAGCAGTAGGTGGAAGGTTGAGCAGCAGTAGGTGGAAGGTTGAGCAGCAGTAGGTGGAAGGTTGAGCAGCAGTAGGTGGAAGGTTGAGCAGCAGTAGGTGGAAGGTTGAGCAGCAGTAGGTGGAAGGTTGAGCAGCAGTAGGTGGAAGGTTGAGCAGCAGTAGGTGGAAGGTTGAGCAGCAGTAGGTGGAAGGTTGAGCAGCAGTAGGTGGAAGGTTGAGCAGCAGTAGGTGGAAGGTTGAGCAGCAGTAGGTGGAAGGTTGAGCAGCAGTAGGTGGAAGGTTGAGCAGCAGTAGGTGGAAGGTTGAGCAGCAGTAGGTGGAAGGTTGAGCAGCAGTAGGTGGAAGGTTGAGCAGCAGTAGGTGGAAGGTTGAGCAGCAGTAGGTGGAAGGTTGAGCAGCAGTAGGTGGAAGGTTGAGCAGCAGTAGGTGGAAGGTTGAGCAGCAGTAGGTGGAAGGTTGAGCAGCAGTAGGTGGAAGGTTGAGCAGCAGTAGGTGGAAGGTTGAGCAGCAGTAGGTGGAAGGTTGAGCAGCAGTAGGTGGAAGGTTGAGCAGCAGTAGGTGGAAGGTTGAGCAGCAGTAGGTGGAAGGTTGAGCAGCAGTAGGTGGAAGGTTGAGCAGCAGTAGGTGGAAGGTTGAGCAGCAGTAGGTGGAAGGTTGAGCAGCAGTAGGTGGAAGGTTGAGCAGCAGTAGGTGGAAGGTTGAGCAGCAGTAGGTGGAAGGTTGAGCAGCAGTAGGTGGAAGGTTGAGCAGCAGTAGGTGGAAGGTTGAGCAGCAGTAGGTGGAAGGTTGAGCAGCAGTAGGTGGAAGGTTGAGCAGCAGTAGGTGGAAGGTTGAGCAGCAGTAGGTGGAAGGTTGAGCAGCAGTAGGTGGAAGGTTGAGCAGCAGTAGGTGGAAGGTTGAGCAGCAGTAGGTGGAAGGTTGAGCAGCAGTAGGTGGAAGGTTGAGCAGCAGTAGGTGGAAGGTTGAGCAGCAGTAGGTGGAAGGTTGAGCAGCAGTAGGTGGAAGGTTGAGCAGCAGTAGGTGGAAGGTTGAGCAGCAGTAGGTGGAAGGTTGAGCAGCAGTAGGTGGAAGGTTGAGCAGCAGTAGGTGGAAGGTTGAGCAGCAGTAGGTGGAAGGTTGAGCAGCAGTAGGTGGAAGGTTGAGCAGCAGTAGGTGGAAGGTTGAGCAGCAGTAGGTGGAAGGTTGAGCAGCAGTAGGTGGAAGGTTGAGCAGCAGTAGGTGGAAGGTTGAGCAGCAGTAGGTGGAAGGTTGAGCAGCAGTAGGTGGAAGGTTGAGCAGCAGTAGGTGGAAGGTTGAGCAGCAGTAGGTGGAAGGTTGAGCAGCAGTAGGTGGAAGGTTGAGCAGCAGTAGGTGGAAGGTTGAGCAGCAGTAGGTGGAAGGTTGAGCAGCAGTAGGTGGAAGGTTGAGCAGCAGTAGGTGGAAGGTTGAGCAGCAGTAGGTGGAAGGTTGAGCAGCAGTAGGTGGAAGGTTGAGCAGCAGTAGGTGGAAGGTGAGCAGCAGTAGGTGGAAGGTTGAGCAGCAGTAGGTGGAAGGTTGAGCAGCAGTAGGTGGAAGGTTGAGCAGCAGTAGGTGGAAGGTTGAGCAGCAGTAGGTGGAAGGTTGAGCAGCAGTAGGTGGAAGGTTGAGCAGCAGTAGGTGGAAGGTTGAGCAGCAGTAGGTGGAAGGTTGAGCAGCAGTAGGTGGAAGGTTGAGCAGCAGTAGGTGGAAGGTTGAGCAGCAGTAGGTGGAAGGTTGAGCAGCAGTAGGTGGAAGGTTGAGCAGCAGTAGGTGGAAGGTTGAGCAGCAGTAGGTGGAAGGTTGAGCAGCAGTAGGTGGAAGGTTGAGCAGCAGTAGGTGGAAGGTTGAGCAGCAGTAGGTGGAAGGTTGAGCAGCAGTAGGTGGAAGGTTGAGCAGCAGTAGGTGGAAGGTTGAGCAGCAGTAGGTGGAAGGTTGAGCAGCAGTAGGTGGAAGGTTGAGCAGCAGTAGGTGGAAGGTTGAGCAGCAGTAGGTGGAAGGTTGAGCAGCAGTAGGTGGAAGGTTGAGCAGCAGTAGGTGGAAGGTTGAGCAGCAGTAGGTGGAAGGTTGAGCAGCAGTAGGTGGAAGGTTGAGCAGCAGTAGGTGGAAGGTTGAGCAGCAGTAGGTGGAAGGTTGAGCAGCAGTAGGTGGAAGGTTGAGCAGCAGTAGGTGGAAGGTTGAGCAGCAGTAGGTGGAAGGTTGAGCAGCAGTAGGTGGAAGGTTGAGCAGCAGTAGGTGGAAGGTTGAGCAGCAGTAGGTGGAAGGTTGAGCAGCAGTAGGTGGAAGGTTGAGCAGCAGTAGGTGGAAGGTTGAGCAGCAGTAGGTGGAAGGTTGAGCAGCAGTAGGTGGAAGGTTGAGCAGCAGTAGGTGGAAGGTTGAGCAGCAGTAGGTGGAAGGTTGAGCAGGCAGTAGGTGGAAGGTTGAGCAGCAGTAGGTGGAAGGTTGAGCAGCAGTAGTGGAAGGTTGAGCAGCAGTAGGTGGAAGGTTGAGCAGCAGTAGGTGGAAGGTTGAGCAGCAGTAGGTGGAAGGTTGAGCAGCAGTAGGTGGAAGGTTGAGCAGCAGTAGGTGGAAGGTTGAGCAGCAGTAGGTGGAAGGTTGAGCAGCAGTAGGTGGAAGGTTGAGCAGCAGTAGGTGGAAGGTTGAGCAGCAGTAGGTGGAAGGTTGAGCAGCAGTAGGTGGAAGGTTGAGCAGCAGTAGGTGGAAGGTTGAGCAGCAGTAGGTGGAAGGTTGAGCAGCAGTAGGTGGAAGGTTGAGCAGCAGTAGGTGGAAGGTTGAGCAGCAGTAGGTGGAAGGTTGAGCAGCAGTAGGTGGAAGGTTGAGCAGCAGTAGGTGGAAGGTTGAGCAGCAGTAGGTGGAAGGTTGAGCAGCAGTAGGTGGAAGGTTGAGCAGCAGTAGGTGGAAGGTTGAGCAGCAGTAGGTGGAAGGTTGAGCAGCAGTAGGTGGAAGGTTGAGCAGCAGTAGGTGGAAGGTTGAGCAGCAGTAGGTGGAAGGTTGAGCAGCAGTAGGTGGAAGGTTGAGCAGCAGTAGGTGGAAGGTTGAGCAGCAGTAGGTGGAAGGTTGAGCAGCAGTAGGTGGAAGGTTGAGCAGCAGTAGGTGGAAGGTTGAGCAGCAGTAGGTGGAAGGTTGAGCAGCAGTAGGTGGAAGGTTGAGCAGCAGTAGGTGGAAGGTTGAGCAGCAGTAGGTGGAAGGTTGAGCAGCAGTAGGTGGAAGGTTGAGCAGCAGTAGGTGGAAGGTTGAGCAGCAGTAGGTGGAAGGTTGAGCAGCAGTAGGTGGAAGGTTGAGCAGCAGTAGGTGGAAGGTTGAGCAGCAGTAGGTGGAAGGTTGAGCAGCAGTAGGTGGAAGGTTGAGCAGCAGTAGGTGGAAGGTTGAGCAGCAGTAGGTGGAAGGTTGAGCAGCAGTAGGTGGAAGGTTGAGCAGCAGTAGGTGGAAGGTTGAGCAGCAGTAGGTGGAAGGTTGAGCAGCAGTAGGTGGAAGGTTGAGCAGCAGTAGGTGGAAGGTTGAGCAGCAGTAGGTGGAAGGTGAGCAGCAGTAGGTGGAAGGTTGAGCAGCAGTAGGTGGAAGGTTGAGCAGCAGTAGGTGGAAGGTTGAGCAGCAGTAGGTGGAAGGTTGAGCAGCAGTAGGTGGAAGGTTGAGCAGCAGTAGGTGGAAGGTTGAGCAGCAGTAGGTGGAAGGTTGAGCAGCAGTAGGTGGAAGGTTGAGCAGCAGTAGGTGGAAGGTTGAGCAGCAGTAGGTGGAAGGTTGAGCAGCAGTAGGTGGAAGGTTGAGCAGCAGTAGGTGGAAGGTTGAGCAGCAGTAGGTGGAAGGTTGAGCAGCAGTAGGTGGAAGGTTGAGCAGCAGTAGGTGGAAGGTTGAGCAGCAGTAGGTGGAAGGTTGAGCAGCAGTAGGTGGAAGGTTGAGCAGCAGTAGGTGGAAGGTTGAGCAGCAGTAGGTGGAAGGTTGAGCAGCAGTAGGTGGAAGGTTGAGCAGCAGTAGGTGGAAGGTTGAGCAGCAGTAGGTGGAAGGTTGAGCAGCAGTAGGTGGAAGGTTGAGCAGCAGTAGGTGGAAGGTTGAGCAGCAGTAGGTGGAAGGTTGAGCAGCAGTAGGTGGAAGGTTGAGCAGCAGTAGGTGGAAGGTTGAGCAGCAGTAGGTGGAAGGTTGAGCAGCAGTAGGTGGAAGGTTGAGCAGCAGTAGGTGGAAGGTTGAGCAGCAGTAGAGTAGGTGTGAAGGTTGAGCAGCAGTAGGTGGAAGGTTGAGCAGCAGTAGGTGGAAGGTTGAGCAGCAGTAGGTGGAAGGTTGAGCAGCAGTAGGTGGAAGGTTGAGCAGCAGTAGGTGGAAGGTTGAGCAGCAGTAGGTGGAAGGTTGAGCAGCAGTAGGTGGAAGGTTGAGCAGCAGTAGGTGGAAGGTGGAGCAGCAGTAGGTGGAAGGTTGAGCAGCAGTAGGTGGAGGTTGACAGCAGTAGGTGGAAGGTTGAGCAGCAGTAGGTGGAAGGTTGAGCAGCAGTAGGTGGAAGGTTGAGCAGCAGTAGGTGGAAGGTTGAGCAGCAGTAGGTGGAAGGTTGGAGCAGCAGTAGGTGGAAGGTTGAGCAGCAGTAGTGGAAGGTTGAGCCGCAGTAGGTGGAAGGTTGAGCAGCAGTAGGTGGAAGGTTGGCAGCAGTAGGTGGAAGGTTGAGCAGCAGTAGGTGGAAGGTTGAGCAGCAGTAGGTGGAAGGTTGAGCAGCAGTAGGTGGAAGGTTGAGCAGCAGTAGGTGGAAGGTTGAGCAGCAGTAGGTGGAAGGCACCTTGGAGACGAGGAGGACGAGCATGATGAGCGGGAGCAGGTTGAGGTTGTTGGTGATCTCCACCATGATCACACACAGCGACACCGTCATGCGCATCGACCCCCCCAGGAACGATGCCGCGCCCAGCAGCGCATACCTGCGAGGGGGGACGGGGAAGAGAGGAGGGAGGGGAGAAGTGGAGCGGGGAGGGGAGGCGAGTGGAGCGGAAGGTAGAGGAAGGGAGGGACGGGGACAGGAGGGGGAGGGAGGAGAGTGAAAAGAAGGGGCGGGGAGGGGCGGGGAAGGGAAGGAGGGAGCGGAGGAAAGGGGCAAGGAGGGAAGAGGCGAGAGGGGTAAACTACATGATCCAGCGTGTCATGCATGTGCATGCATCATGCAGCATGCCCTCGGCTCAGCGGTTCTGTGCTGTGCTGTCCGCGCTATGCCCAGCCCCCTGCACCCCATTTTTTCTCCCTCCCCATCAACCACCCCACCTATACTTTCAATTCACATTCCCCAAACCAACCGCCCATGCCACCACCAACACCAACCCTTCTCCCCCTTCCTCCCCATTTCCCCGCCTCCCAATCCCCCCACCCCCCTTCCCCAACACCCCGGTCCTCGACTCACGTGCCCTCGTCGGTGTTGTCCTGCCCATACACGTGCACCATGAGCATGCCCACCAGCCGGCCATCTCAGTACCAACCAACCCCACCCACAAGCCCCCACAGACGTTGACCAGATTTCCCCCTCCCCATTCCCACACTCACGTGCCCTCGTCCGTGTTGTCCTGCCCGTACATGTGCACCATGAGCATGCCCACCAGCCGGCCATACGTGGCACCTATCATTATGCCCGGCACGAACTGCCCTGACGGCACTGCAATGCCGTATGTCAGCACCGCCAGGCAGAAGAAGATGAGCTGTAGGGGAGGGAGGGGGGGAGGGGGAGGGTTTGAAAGGGGAGGATGGGGGATGGGAGGGGGGAGGGGGAGGAGCGAGCAGCGAGGGTTGCGGAATACCTCTGCATGTTGTATTCACATGCCGCATCTACAGGCCCCCTTTGTTTAATATCCACAATCACAGCAGTGCGGCAATGAGGCAGTAAGGGGGACACACAATACAAAACTCAAGCCCTGATGAGAAGAGGGCGAGTGAGAGAAGGGGGAATTGAGAGACGCGAGCAAGTGAGAGGTTAAGGGAGCGAGCGAGAGGATTAAGGGGGAGCACGGGCGTGAGGGGGGAGCGAGTGACGGGGGAAACGAGTGGGTGAGTGAGCGAGAGAGCAAAGGCAGCGAGGGAGCAAAGGGCGGGGGAGCGAAGGGGGCGAGGGAGGAAGGGGGCTGAAGGTTGGAGGCACTGACGAGGAAGGAGATAAGGGTGGTGGCGCTGTACTCCTGAATGGTGCCGCTGCTGAACAGATTGCGGATGGCGTCGTCCTGTGGTTGCACGATAAGGGGTTAAGGTTCAGGACAAAAAGGGCGAGATGTGGCGAGATGGGGTGAGAAGAAGTGAGATGAGACAAGACGAGGCGAGATGAGGCACGAAGAGATGAGATGAGATGAGAGCGAATGAGTCAAGATGGTGCCGTCCTCCCCTTCACCACCCTTTCATCTTCTTATGCTCTCACGATATATCAACAACAACCCCCCACCCAACACCTCCCCCGCACTCCCTTTCACCTCCCTGCTGTCTCCCCTCTCCCCCATCCTCTTCCGAGCATCCCCACCCCCATCCCCACCCCCACCCCCACCCCCAACTTCACCGGCACCCCGACACACAGCACACCTGTGTGTTGAAGAAAATGGTGGCGAGGTCGTTGTACTGGTCGTCACGAGGGCAGTTGAACTGCGGGGGTCGCACACATGCACACAACCACGCACACACGGCCACAAACGTGGTCACACATGCGGCGGAGAGGGAACAGTGCACAGGGGCGGTGCGCAGCACACATGGGGCCACATACGTGCAGAGAACAGCAAGAATGTGAGAATAGACACACGGAAAACAGGAGATGGTGGCAAAAAAGGACTGCGAGAGGAGTCGCAAAGGCGGTTTTTTTCAGTGGATGAGCAAACTTTGGCGAACCCCACTTTACTGGAGCATTGCTTCTCGCAAACGAGGGTCGATTACCTGAAGGGCGTGTACACTGTGGGGGTTCATGACGCATGCAGATTAGCGCCATTCGAATCCTCACCAACTCCGGCGTCGGAGTTCATTAGACGCGTGCAGAGTCGGCGAGGATTTGAATGGCGGCTAATTTGCATGCGTCATGAACCCCCACAGTGTACACGCCCTTCAGGTAATCGTCCTCGTTTGCCAGAAGAAACGCTCGAGCAAAATGGGATCCGCCAAAGTTTGCCCATCTACTGAAAATAACCGCCTCTGCTCCACCTCCTGCTGGATGCTGCTATGATCTACAATCAACAACAATGAGACAGTGAAAACCCATGGCAGGCTTCTCTATCAAGGAAAAGAGTTGGGAGGGAGCGCAGTGTAGTAACTTGATGCTAGTTTCCTTTCCTCCTCTACTCTCTCCACCCTTCAAACGCACCAGCACACCCCATTGACCCAACACCACAGCCTTCCCATCCCTCCATTACTCCCCATCCTTACAACACCCTCTGTGCCCCAGCTTCCTTTCCTGTCCCCCCAGCTTCTCTGATCCCCCAGCATCCCAGCACTCCCAATCCCCCACCCCACCCCCCACCCCTCACCTGCACGAAGTTCCCCCAGTGGTACTTGGGGCGCGGGCACACAATGTCAGGGTAGCGCATGGGGTCGGGGCACGCCCGGCACGGCGCCAGGAAGGGGATGGTGAAGGACAGTGCTGATGTGGCTGCTGCCACCAGACATGCCTCTATGATCTGAGAGGAAGAGATGGAGAAGGAGGGGGGAGGCGGGGAATGGGGTGGGGGTTTGGGTGGGCAGTGGAGGAGAGGAGGAAGGGGATGGTGAAGGACAGTGCTGATGTCGCTGCTGCCACCAGACACGCCTCGATGATCTGAGAGGGAGAGGGGGGACGCGGGAACAGGGTGAAGTGAGGGGGTGGAGGGATGGACTAGGAAAACATATTTCAGTCAACTCAAAAGAGATTGTGGGGAAGGAGGGGAGGGGAGGGGAGGGGAGGGGAGGGGAGGGTTGTGGGGAGGGTTGTGGGGTGGGTTGTGGGGAGGGTTGTGGGGTGGGTTGTGGGGAGGGTTGTGGGGTGGGTTGTGGGGAAACGGACCTTGACTCGATCGCCCCGCTTGTGGAGGTAGTTGCGGCGCCACGCGGAGAGGTAGAGCGTGAGCTGGTTGAATAGCGCCCCTGGACGCACGTAGCAGGGGAGGAGCAGGACGAGTACGCAGAACGGGGGTAAGCAGTAGGGTTAAGGGGGGTAAGCAGAAGAAGGGTAAGCAGCGGAGGGGTAAGCAGAGGGAGGCTTGAAAGCAAGCATTGAAAGGAAGGAGAGTATAAAGATGTTAACCACAGTTATTTCAGGGGGCCGGAAGGGGGCCGGGCAGCGAGGAGGATGGGTGGAAGGAAGGGAAGGGAGGATGTGAGAGGGATTAATGAGCAGGGGTGTGTGGCAGGGCCTAGAAGGATAGGTGGTCAATGGACATACCTAGAAGACCACCCATGAGACCGAGCATGGTCATGGGTAGAAGCTGATAGGAGAAGAACTCACTCGCTCCCCTGCAAGCATGCATGCATGAGCAGAGACTCAGAAACACGCAACACATGAGACATGCGTACACACATACAGATACATTCAGCCACACAGCCACACAGCCACACACACAGACGCATACATTCAGCAGATGAGTCATGAGAGGTTAAATCGAGAAGAAAACATTATTCGACATGACATCATGAGTCATGATGTGGCAAGATGTGGCACGATATGGTCCAACATGCATGGCACGGCACAGCATGGCACAGCATGGCACAGCACAGCACAGCACAGCACAGCACAGCACAGCACAGCACAGCACGCACCCATGCACATCCCAAATGATGAACCCGCCCGATGCGAATTTGCCGCACTCCCCGCTGGCACACCAGCGCATGCACGCCTTGAGCACCACCGCTACCACTGCTGACGTGAAGAACACCCTCCACATGAGCTGCGGGCGCCACCTGGTGTGGACGAGCCCAGGACCACATACATGGAGGGATGGAGGGAGGGAGGGAGGGAGGGAGGGAGCGAAGGAGGGAAAAGTGGTGGAAGAGGGTAAGTGGAGAATGGAAAGGGAAGCAAGGTGACATGAGGGAGGGAAGGAAGGTAGGGGTGACGAGTTGAACTCCTCTTCACAGGACTCGGTTCGATTGATACACGAACGGGAGAGAAGGAAGACCAAGGATACGGTACCTACCTTCCATGGTGTGGCGATTGCTAGTCGTTTAAGAACAAGGTAGGTGGGCACTATTGCACTGCACTGCCCTTCCCTGCCCTGAACTGCAGACTCTCGCCCTCGTACAATAGAACCGAATGAACAGCCTGCTGCCTGCCACATAATGCAAGCAACCCCCTCGCTCACATTTCCTCACCCACCGTCCCTCACCCCTTCCTCACCAGGACGTGACCTCCTCCAGTGCAGCACTCCCCCTACTGGTGCTGACTTTTGAGTCGACTCAAAACTCAAAACTCACCAGGACGTGACCTCCTCCAGTGCAAACAGCACTCCCCCTACTGGTGCTCTGAACGCCGCTGCTGCCCCCGCTGCCGCTCCACACGTGACCTGGGGGACCGGGGAGGGAAGGTTTGATGTCATGTGCGGAGGCAGAGAGAGAGAGAGAGAGAGAGAGAGAGAGACTAGGCCGCGCATTTTAGGAGGCAAGCTTAGGTAACGGGACAACTTTAGCAGACAGCATGGCGACAAACATCATCAACTAGCAGGCATCATGGAGAAGGACTACACAAGACAAAGGGGGGCACCTACATGCGGTCCGCCCCCAGAAACGAGAGCATTCCGCGCGTGGTCTGCCACAAGTGGCGGACCACTGACACGCAGGCGGTTAGAGCATCTCCGGGTGTGCCTTCAACCGGCCCTGCAATGTGCCTCAGATCCAGGGCCGCGCGAGCCAGCAGGTTGGCCGCGTCTGCACCCGGGGAGGGCGCTGCCTGCAGTGGCGCCAAGAGGGATAGGATCTCATCCGCCGCCCCCAAGCACGCTGCTTGCGGTTTCTCAGCAAATGTGCTCGGGCGGGATATCGGCATCGACGCACGAGTCGACCGGAGAACACGCGCCAGTGCCTCTAGGCACTCCGACAGTATCCACAGCTGACGCAGGGTCGCCGTGGAACATGAATACTCCGCCTCCTCAAGGCGAGGACGAGGGTCACGATACGGACCCCTTGCTGGGCCTCCGCCAGCGCCAACAAAACCCGGGAGAACAGGCGGCTGCTGGACAGAGCGCTGCGGGGACACCGCACGGTTGGCTACCTCGACAATGGCGGGAAGAGAACGAGGAGCGTCTGGCGGAACGGAGCGACAGGCTGTCGCCGCCTGCGACTCACGGAGAGCAGTTGCGAGCACGTCCGGAAGCCTCTCCAGGGCGCGCGCAAAGTCCGACGCAGACTGGCGACCCCCGCCCCCGCGTCCGCGGCCCCCGCGACTGCCACGCCGCCCACGACTATTCGACCACGAGCGGGCTGGAGATTGGGGCCGTGACGTGCTGCGCGGGCGGAGCGCAGGGGATCGCTCACGACGCGATGGAGAATGGCGCCGCCGGCGCTTCACCGGCGATTCGCGCGGAGAACGGCGAGCAGGAGAGCGACGCCCTGAGGATCGGCGCGCGGGTGAATGACAGCGAGGCGAATGGCGAGATGGGGAGCGGTGACTTGGCGATCGACGCCCAGGGGAACGGCTGCGGCTCCCCTGACGACGAGGGGAGCGACGCTCGCGGCGATCTTCACGCCGCCCCTCGCAGCGTTCGTCACGAGGCTCAGGCGTCCGACGACGCGGAGAACGCCCCCGGTGCGGCTCCGCCAAGGCGCCAGAACGCACAGCGGACTCCGCGCGGGTTGCCACTCTCGGAGGCGAATCAGCGACGCGCGGCCCGGGAGGACGGCGCTGGTCCTCAAATCGGCGCCGGATTTGGTCCGCAGCAGCGGGAGGACGAGCAAGAACGCTCACCGCCGGGCGTGGCGGAAGCACAGGTGCACTCTCCGCGGTACACTCGCGGTCGTGGGCGGACAGAAGCGCCATCCGCGCAAGCACAAGGCGCAATTCCAACACAAGGGGAGCCTACAACCCCGACTCTCCCCACGCAACAGGCGGCGCTAGCAGCAGGGACCCCGCAGAGCGGACGGGGAAGCGCGCGGGGGAGAGGATCGCGACGAGGAGCGCGCGGAGGACAGAGGAGCGCAGTCCAAGCGGCGAGGGGGCGCGGGCGCCAACCACCGAGCCCAATCTGGCTAGGGGAGCCGGCGGAACGAATCACGCGGCAGTCGTTCGCTAGGCGCGGGGCGAGAGGTGGTGCGCCAGCGCAAGCAGGGAGGAACGTCGATATCATCAGAGAGGCGAGAGACGAGGACTATATACCGTCAGATCTGAGGCAACCAGACAATCCCGACTCACCTCGCGCGGAATCAGGAGAGGAGGTGGCGCAGCAACAGGAGAGAGGAACCAACCGCAGACAGCAGCGCAGAGCCCAGCCCCCACCGGACCAAGCCCTATCTGCGTCCCAGCTGGCCTCGCGGGAGGATCTTTTCCAGATCGCGATGACCTGGGACCTTACGCTCCTAACATCCATCACCCACCAACCTCCTAACGTCCCAGCTGTACACCGAATACCTGGGGTCAATGCACCTGGCCAAACCACCTCAACACCAACGTGACCCGCTGGGAATCTGCTCACGTGCGGAGGGGTTGGTGAAAAGGGGTAACCTGCGAAAGGCGTTAGCGGCCCTTCAACCCTCGCCATCAGCACCAGCGACATTCGCGACACTGCAGCAGCTGGAATCGAAACATCCCCAACCCCAAAATGACCTGCCCGACTGGGTCCACTCCTACACGACACCCACACAATTTTCAACCACCCTGGAAAGCTTTTCGGACGTCCTCGGGGAATGCCCCAGGGGAATTGGGGCTGGCCCATCGGGGTCAACCGAGGTTGCAGCCCTACTCGCCCCGTCCCGCCTTATAGCCTTCGCCAAACCAGGGGGGGGGGTACGCCCAATCGCGATTGGAGAAACATTGCTTAGGCTGGCGGCGAAAGTGGCACTCACAGACCTGCAAGGAGAAACGCGAAAATTTTTCCTACCTCAGCAATTTGGCGTGGCAGTCCCGGGAGGTGCTGAATTCGTCATCCATGCAGTCAGAGACCTCACCACCGTGCAGCCCTCCAGCCTAGTCCTCCAACTCGACATTGAGAACGCGTTCAACTCAGTCGAGAGGAGCGCGTTCTTCAACGCACTTATCGGCTGCCTGCTAGCCCCCCTCATCCCCTTCACACGCTCTTTCTACGCATGAGCATGAGCGCTGCTGCTGGACCCATGCTTCAATTCCATGCTTCAATTCCATGCTTCAATTCCATGCTTCAATTCCATGCTTCAATTCCACGCTTCAATTCCATGCTTCAATTCCACGCTTCAATTCCATGCTTCAATTCCACGCTTCAATTCCATGCTTCAATTCCATGCTTCAATTCCATGCTTCAATTCCATGCTTCAATTCCATGCTTCAATTCCACGCTTCAATTCCATGCTTCAATTCCACGCTTCAATTCCATGCTTCAATTCCACGCTTCAATTCCATGCTTCAATTCCACGCTTCAATTCCATGCTTCAATTCCATGCTTCAATTCCACGCTTCAATTCCATGCTTCAATTCCATGCTTCAATTCCATGCTTCAATTCCATGCTTCAATTCCATGCTTCAATTCCATGCTTCAATTCCATGCTTCAATTCCATGCTTCAATTCCATGCTTCAATTCCATGCTTCAATTCCATGCTTCAATTCCATGCTTCAATTCCATGCTTCAATTCCATGCTTCAATTCCATGCTTCAATTCCATGCTTCAATTCCATGCTTCAATTCCATGCTTCAATTCCATGCTTCAATTCCATGCTTCAATTCCATGCTTCAATTCCATGCTTCAATTCCATGCTTCAATTCCATGCTTCAATTCCATGCTTCAATTCCATGCTTCAATTCCATGCTTCAATTCCATGCTTCAATTCCATGCTTCAATTCCATGCTTCAATTCCATGCTTCAATTCCATGCTTCAATTCCATGCTTCAATTCCATGCTTCAATTCCATGCTTCAATTCCATGCTTCAATTCCATGCTTCAATTCCATGCTTCAATTCCATGCTTCAATTCCATGCTTCAATTCCATGCTTCAATTCCATGCTTCAATTCCATGCTTCAATTCCACGGCACTCACCAGCGGAAGAGGAGTCGCACAGGGGGATCCCCTCGCACCCCTGCTACTCGCGGCGTCTATCCAGCAGCACCTCAGGCACGTGGCAGCGGAGCACCCGGAAGTCACCGTCCTCGCGTACGCAGACGACATAACCATGATTGGACCCGCGACGGCGACGCTAGACGCGCTAAGGGAGCTCACGCCGCTACTAGCACAGGATGGCCTCACCTGCAACTTTATGAAGTCGTCGGCGTGGTCCTCCATGCCGCTTGGAGGTGTCGTGCTCCCTGAAGGCCTCTCCCACACCCACGAGGGGGTACGGGTGTTGGGAAGTCCTGTGGGGTCGCAGAGCTTCTGCTCTGCCTTTGTCCGCAGTACCCTGACAGACGCGGCAGCCCCCTTGGGTTCCCTGGCGTCCATCCACCCACAACATGCCCTCCTGCTACTGTCCCGTTGCATCAGCCGCAGAATCGGCTACCTGCTACGCACTACCCCAGCAGACGTCTTACCCCTCTCGGAATGGCACACATGGTGCTCCGAACTACTGCACACGGCCTTGACCGCCGCCAGCATTCAACCGCCACGCCGAGAAGCCGAGTTCAACTTCCTGCTCCGACAAGCAACTCTTCCAGTCGCCCTGGGCGGGCTGGGACTTACAGACCCCACAACAGAAGCAGCACCGGCCTACCTGGCATCAACGACGGAGGCGCTACGACTGCTCCGCTCCCTTGACCTACAAGCAACCGCGGCACTGGGGGCCAACAACAACACCCTGCAGCCGTCCGCAGCGCACTCGGTAACCATCCAGGACATGGAGGGGCGCCTGCCACCGCTGGCGCTACAAAACCTCCGGGAGGAGCAGCAAACCCCGTCCCAAGACCAGCTGCAACGCGCCCTCTCTCAGGAGGTGCACGCGGCAAAGGCCGACGCCTTGACAGAGGAGTCACGCACCATCCAGTCAGCCCCCGAGATGGGTCACTCACTCCGCCTCATCAGCCTGAGAGGGGAGGGAGCGGGAGCATGGCTGCAGGCCCTACCTTTGACCCCGGACCTTTGCTTCTCACCGGGACAATTCCGAGCAGCCCTGGCCTTCCGCATGGGCATCCGACAGAATGTACCCACTGTGTGCGAGTGTGGAGAACTCGTAGCCGACTGCAGCCTACCCAACCACCTACTCCGCTGCAGCACAGGCCCCGACAGGACACGCACACACAACCAGCTAGCTTTTGCCGTGGCTAAAATGGCAAGGGAAGCACAGTTGGTGGTATACCTGGAGAACGCCATGTACTCACCGCCGGATGACCCGAAGAAAGCCGATGTGATTGTACGCGACCCGGACAGTGGAGAGACTTGGATCACAGACACCACTATCACAGACCCCGTGCTGCAGAACCGGGACCCCACAGCCCGCAAACCCCCAGGCTGGGCTGCTAGAGAGGCACAGAGGCGGAAGGAGAGGGAGTACTACCGACACACGGAACACGTGGTGTTCTGCGCCCTAGCCGTCGAGACCTACGGGGCAAACGCGCCCACCACGACTGCGTTCCTGAAGCTGCTGGCCACAGCAGCAGCTAGGAACCGGTTCAGGGCCAACCCCCTGGCGAAATCGGCCAAGAAGATGGCCTGCCACTTCAGCCAGCGCTGGTCAGTGGCCCTCCAGCGCTCCCAGGCTAATGCCCTGCACACCAAGGCCAGGGCTGGGATCGAGGCAGCGCACCCCCAGATGGCAGCGGACCCCTGGCCGCTGCACCTGGGGGACATCCTCCACACGCTGGAGGGCTAGAGGGTCACTCAGGGGGGGGGGTGAAGAGTGGTAAGTTTTGGGGCTTAAGGGATAGAGGTTATCATGGATAGCACCGCATGTTTGTACCCCTGCTGAATTAATACAAAGGACCATTTGAGAGAGAGAGAGAGAGAGAGAGAGAGAGAGAGAGAGAGAGAGAGAGAGAGAGTAGGGTGGACGGAAGAACTGGCATACACGTGCACACGAGTAGACGGGCACACGCACAGGCACGCATGCACACCCAAAGGCACTCACGCACACACACACACGCACGCGTGCACACACACACACACACACACACACACACACACAGCCCAGGCGCATCTTTACCCCTCTCCCCCAATGCTCCCTTCTTTTCCCCAACTGTCGTCCCCCCCTCTCTTCCCCCATACCCGTACCGTACCCACCATGTCTCGCCTGTCCCTGTCATTGCGGAATGCCCGGAACCACTTGAAGGGGATGCGGTAGCGCGATGAGCCGCCCTGAGCAGGCGAGTGCAGATTGAGAGGTTGGGAGGAGGGGGGGAGGAGGGAGGGAGGAGGGTAGGGTGAAGGCAGAGGGGGGGGGCAGGGGGAAGGCGAGGGGAGGAGAAGGCGTGGCATGGAGAGGGGCACAGGAGGAGAGGGATGGGGGGATGAGAGGAGACGAGAGCAGAGGAGAGGAGAGGAGAAAGTGCTTTTGAGATTCCGGAACGAAATGTGGTGGCGTGGCACAATTAGCAACCTTGGTCAGAAAATTAGGATGGAGTGGGGGGAGGAAGTGTAGAAGTGACTTTTAAGTCGCCTAAAAAAATCAGGATGGAGAGGGGTGAGGGAGGTGCAGAAGTGGAAAGTGAGGTGACGGCATGTTTGGTGAGAAGTGTGAAACGGAGGGGGGCGGGGAGGGGGGAGGGGGGAGGGGGGGATAGCGGAGGGGAAAGACTAACGGGAGGGCACAGGACTGCAAAGCGAGACCAACTCGGAAGGGGAAAGCAAGTTGAGCTAACAAACCGCATCAGCAGCCACTGCCGGCATACATCACCTCAAAACTAGATCAGAAGCGTAATTACCTAGCTCACGCCATGCTACTTTTGAGGTGCCTCAACTACAAATCAGCCGCCTAAGTACCAGACAGACAGACAGCAGCAGTGCTATGCCACAGGAAGACCAGGCGAGGACGGATGGAAAATACATCCCGCTTTCTCAACCCCCCATCACTCCCCATTCACCTGAACCCCAGTTCACAAACAACCACACACACCCACACACCCCTTCTCCCTCCGGCCCCCCACACACCCACACCCAACCACACCCACCCACACCCGCACACTGACCTGGCCGATGAGAGCAGCAAGGCACGCGCCAGTGTGCACGAGAGGGCCTTCCTTGCCCAGCGCCAGCCCACCAGCCACCGACCCCACACTGCCCAGCATCTGCAACAAGGGGACGACAGGCATGGCAGGGGTGGCAGGGGTGGCAGGGGTGGCAGGGATGATACCGCGGGGGCAGCAAAGGGGACAGGGGGAAGGTAAGGAGGAGAATGAGAGGGAGGCCAAGAACATCATTGCTGGATTGAAGTCATACCTTATTATGATTATCATATATGTGTATATATGATAATCAAAATAAGGGTGGGGTGTTGTGCCTACAGAACCCTTCCGAGTTGGGTCGCCACCGTCAGTCGAGTGGCTTGCTTCAATTCAGGTTTCAACAAACCGGTTCAGGTTCCATACTCATGTAACAGTCTTACGAAGTTATTTATCCTAAGGCAATGCTTTGGTTCTTCTGAGCAGCAAGCGCCCATCGCCCAAACTTGCCATGACTTTGCCAACTAGCTTTAGAGAGATTTCGAGAAAAGCCTGGCAAGGCTGATGTGTGTCGATCTGATGTAGATTCAACAAGTAGCACAGATGTAAAACAGTTTAAAGGAAATTTGCTACAGCAAAGTGAGGGGGGCAGGGTGGGGCGTGGGGTGGGAGAGAGATAAGGGGCCAGGCGAGGAGTGACGGGAAGGAGAGGGAGGAAGGGAGCGTGAGAAAGAGGTGCGAAGTGCTGATAGTAAACCTGACATCTGAATGTAGAAGAAAACACAGAGCGAGTGGGTGGGTGGGGGAACGGGTGGGTGGGTGGGTGGGGGAAAGGGTGAGTGGGTGGGTGGGGGAACGGGTGGGTGGGTGGGTGGGTGGGTGGGTGGGTTGGGAGGGCAAAGGAGGCAGAGAAGCAGACCTTACCAACCAGCGTGCGCACCAACAGGATGCCCGGCATATCAATGCCTGCACCGTACACCGGGGGGTGGGGGGAGGAGGGGGGACAGGCGGTAAGGGGAGGGAGTAAAAAGGGGGGGGGGGGGGGGGGGGGGGGGGGGGAACAAAGAGTCAGTTCATGAGGCACCCGCACAGCACGCAACGCTCGTGCGGGGACAGACAGAGGGTTTTGGGAAGGACTAAACGAGGGAGTTGATGGACTGGACCATGTGACGGGATGGCGACACTGCAGCACAGCAGCACTGCGTCCACCAGCCTTCCTGCCCAGCCCATCCACCTGCCCACGGCTCGCTCGCCTGCCTATCCTACCCCGATGATGGCCTAACCTATTGGCCTTCCTGTGTGCCAAACCTTTAAGAACCTACCGTAGAATCATGCAGAAACGAGGTTGGGATCCCATCCTCCATCCGCAACCCACCTACCGTTCAAGCACCCCTTGTTCCCGTCTTTTGACACGTCTCGGAGGAAGTAAGTACGGACCCCAACCCAACCCCAACCACAACCCGACCTCACTCCCACACCCGCGACCCACCCCACCCACCTACCGTTGAGATACCCCTTGATCTCTGGAATCCCCGAGCCGGCAGCGGCGGGGGCGAAGCGGGTGACGATGAAGGAGGAGGAGAAGACGAGCAGCACGTTGAACGCCAGATACACCATGAAGGCCAGCGCGTGCGAGCGCTGCATCACCCACCACACATAGCCATGCGGGTAGGTAGCTAAACAGCCCACAACCCACATCCGCAGCCAGCCAACACTGATACCCAGTGCCCACCATACGCACACCCGCCCCCACCCCGCAACCACTCCCACCCCCAACCCCACCCCACCTCCACACTGATCCCCACCCACCTACCGTTCAGGTACCCCTTGATCTCTGGAATCCCCGAGCCGGCAGCGGCGGGGGCGAAGCGGGTAACGATGAAGGAGGAGGAGAAGACGAGCAGCACGTTGAACGCCAGATACACCATGAAGGCCAGCGCGTGCGAGCGCTGCATCACCCACCACACATAGCCATGCGGGTAGGTAGCTAAACAGCCCACAACCCACATCCGCAGCCAGCCAACACTGATACCCAGTGCCCACCATACGCACACCCGCCCCCACCCCGCAACCACTCCCACCCCCAACCCCACCCCACCTCCACACTGATCCCCACCCACCTACCGTTCAGGTACCCCTTGATCTCTGGAATCCCCGAGCCGGCAGCGGCGGGGGCGAAGCGGGTAACGATGAAGGAGGAGGAGAAGACGAGCAGCACGTTGAACGCCAGATACACCATGAAGGCCAGCGCGTGCGAGCGCTGCATCACCCACCACACATAGCCATGCGGGTAGGTAGCTAAACAGCCCACAACCCACATCCGCAGCCAGCCAACACTGATACCCAGTGCCCACCATACACACACCCGCCCCCACCCCGCAACCACTCCCACCCCCAACCCCACCCCACCTCCACACTGATCCCCACCCACCTACCGTTCAGGTACCCCTTGATCTCTGGAATCCCCGAGCCGGCAGCGGCGGGGGCGAAGCGGGTAACGATGAAGGAGGAGGAGAAGACGAGCAGCACGTTGAACGCCAGATACACCACGAAGGCCAGCGCGTGCGAGCGCTGCATCACCCACCACGTCGCCCCGAACTTCCACCCCGCGAGAATCTCCACTGCCACGTTGATGGAGAAGGCTGCCAGACCCGTTGCTGTGTGCATGGATGAATAGAGCAGAGCAGGGTGGGGCAGGGCAGGGCAGGGCAGGGCAGGGCAGGGTGGGGCAGGGCAGGGCAGGGCAGGGCAGGGCAGGGCAGGGCAGGGCGGGGCGGGGCAGGGCAGGGCAGGGCAGGGCACGGAAGGGAAGGGAAAGGTTAGGCAAGGCAAGGCATGTCTGATTATTAAGAATTCCCCCAAACTACCAGCCCGCCAGGATCTCCAGAGCCACGTTGATGGAGAAGGCTGCCAGACCCGTGGCTGTGGGGATGGGTTGAGTGGAGAGGGCAGGGCAGAGAGGTCGGCATGGCATGGGATGCGCTTAGGACCAGAGAGTGAGGGGCGGGGGAGTGACAGATGACCGAGGAGGGGACGAGGAGCCAGGCAGAGAGCGGCGGACAGGGCGGACAGGGCGGACAGGGAACAGAGGTTCATGCAGGTGTACGCGGCAGAGAGCGGCAGGGGAGAGCATCGGGGAGCATGACAGACGATGAGAGGGAAGGAACGCTAAGGGGACAGCAAAACGAAATTGGGAACGGGAAGGGATGGGGAGTGGGACGGAAGAACATAGGTCAGACGGCCTTACGGTCGGTCGTACAATCGTATGGGTCGTACGGGTCGTACCTATGCCGAGGCAGAGAGCAAAGACCCACTTGACTATGAGGTACCCCATCTGGTGCAACTTGCCCCTCCTTGCCTGCCACCCATGCCCACGCACACACGCACGCACGCACGAACACACACATGCACAGGATGGGGGGGAGGAAGGGGGGGTGTTTGGTGGGACAGGGTGAGGAGGTCGGGGCAGGGGGTTTGGGGAGGAAGAGGTGTAGCAGGGAAGGGAGGAAGAGAAGGGAGGAGTGGCAAGCACTGAGAGAGACGTTGCCAACATGCGGGCAGGCAGGAGGAGAGAAGGAACGTGCACAGAAGACAACGGAGACGAAAACAGCAGGGAGAAGGAGGGGCGACTTTTGAGGCACCTCAAAAGAGGCGCCTCAAAAGAGGCGCCTCAAAAGTCATGCGGGCAGGGGGAGAGAAGGAACGTGCACAGAAGACAACGGAGACGAAAACAGCAGGGAGAAGGAGGGGCGACGGGCGAAGAGGGAACAGGGACGTGGAGGGCGTGTAAGTGCGAGTGTGGGACGACTACTCCTCCCGTGGACGGGTGAAGTGGAACAGGAGACTGGAACAGACTGGATGCAACGACCCGCGCAGCACACGCACTCACCATCCCCACTTCCCACATCCTCACCTCCCAACTTCCCACCTCTCCAACTCCCCACCTCCCCATGTCCTCACCTCCTCACCCCCCTCATTTCCAACGTCACAATTGACATTTCGCCCCCCAACTGCTCCTCTCTCGCCACGCGGTGCTCCTCTCTCGCTCGCGGCACTTGCTGTACCGACTGGAATCAGTGACACCCCCACCAGCATAGATTTGGCACCCTCACCTGTTCCTCGCGATACACCGAGTTGTCTATCACATCATAGTCCAAACTCTCCAGCGGATCCCCCTGCGCGCCCTGCGGATACTGCCTCCCCCTCTCCCCCGCCCCCGCCCCCCGCCCCCGACCCCTCTCCTCCCCCCTCCCCTCCCCCGCCTTCCTCCTCCTGCGCGCCATCTTCCGCCCGCCCTGATTCTCCGCTCGCCCGCCCTCCCCCCAGCAGCTGCCCCTGCTCCTCGTGCCGCCAGAACAACGTGTCCCAACCCCATGTGCGGAGCACCGACCGCACTGCTCTCCCCGCGCGCCCCCACGGCTGCGGAGCCCGCCACTCCTCACCCTGCCCCGCGGAAGATCCCCGCGCGCCTCTTCCGCCCCGTTCGCCTGCTCCGCCGGCTCCATCCCCGCCCCCGTTTCCCCCCGTTGCGGCGCCCGCGCGTCGCCCTCCCGCGGAAAACAGTTGCCGGCGCACTGGATACCGCTTGGCGCTGCCCTTCTTCCTTCCGCGACTGCCGCTCCCGTCCTCAGGGCTGCGCGGGGGGCGTCCGCCTTCGTTTTGCCTCGAAGTCTCCCCCGCATCCGCGTCTCCGCTTCCGCCTGATCTCCTCTGTCCACCGCTACCACTACCACTTCCGCCACCAACACCGCCGCCGCCGCCGCTATTTCCGCGACGGCTATCGATCCGCTTATTCTCGGTCCGTTTCGGATCACTGCCCCCCACCTCGTCAGGTCTACCATCCCCTTCCGCCGACCGATCCCAATCAGTCCGTTCCGCCGCTTCAGCTTCCGTCTCGCTCTTGAATGCGCCATTCATTCCTGTCTCGTTCGTTACTGTCACTCTCAAGTCTCCCCCGATCTCGCCTGGCGGAAATTGCCCTTCCGCGCGAACAGTTGCGCTCTCTAGGTCCAGCGGGGGAGGATCATCGGAACCGGCGGAGCCTGCGGAGCCGTCGATGGCGGAAACGGCGGAAGCCAGAGACGCGGCCACGCGGAGATGATGCGCGACGATCTCCGCTCTTCGTTCCGCCACACTGGGAGACGCGGATACAGAAGCGGAACCTGCGCCGGCGCCACCCGCAGCACCTATTAAAGGACCAGCACTGGCGGAAGGATTTCCGGTGGCCCCGTAAAACGAAGCAGCTGATCGGTACGGCGACGCGCCTGCGGAATAAGGCGAAAGCGCAGCGCTTCCCCCCCCAGGGCGGGGGAAACTGGGAGTGGCGCGCG